TTTTTTTTCTTGAACTCCGATTCTGCACGATTTTGCCCCCCTGCTTCAGGGCTAAAGTAAGAGGGTACAAAAAAAAAGTGCACAGGGTACATTCAAGTACTCAATGAGTACAATCCAAACCAACAAAAAAAAGTTAGATTTTTCAAACTTCGATGCCAACTTCACATAGCTGCCGTAATGCACAGTCTCATTGATTAATTTCAATTACTCGAGTTGTTATCAATTTGGGGTAATAATCAAGTCCATTCAGTACTTGAATTACAAGTCAAGGTAGTCGATAGTCTATTATCATCATTCGCCAAAACATATCACTGACCGAATTAGAGTTCAGGGACATATTAATAATTCCTTACGTGTCGGAATGAAGATAGAATTTTTACAAGGGCCATACCATCAATTTAGTCGAGTTTAAAAGTGTAATTATAACTTTCTCAGTGAGCCTAATGCATTTTTATATTTATCTGGTTTAGTTTCTTTTAATGGAGTGTTTACCTCTTACCGCAATCTGTGGAGTTTTAGGTCCACTAAACCATCCAAACTTTATTCTACTTTTATGTTTCCTTTATCTCCTGAGAATAAAGGGCACTCAACAACTCACGGTTTGTGTAGGACTTACTGAGATATATCTTACCGGTGTTATTTTAATTTCTTCATTTATCGTGAAGTCTCGATGAATTTCATGATTTATCTCTTTCTCACTCCATTAATTTTTATTATGTATTAATTTATTCGTGGAATATGAAAGGGTGATTTCAAAATTCTTGGTTGATGCGATGAAACTCTTTTTCGATATTTACAATGTGATAATTTAATTATTCAGAGCCGAAAATTCTTTTTCTCGGTGGTGGACATCCGTCGGCTCCAAATATCGTAGAACATGTTTTTTCAACTCTTGATGCTAGCCTCTCGGTGAATCTCAGGGCGATATCGTCTGTCTCGATGCTTTTCAAGTAACATCCTGTCTCTTCAGCCTCGCATGGGGCATAATGATGGAGAAGAGCCGTTTCCGGATTTACAATGTACTCTTTGAACTCTGAAAAAGACGGGTTGTTGTATTTCTGCTGACTCCGCTGTCTCCAGTCGATTGGTATTTTCGATCGAAGTCCTTTACCTTTTTCCGATGACATGAGAGAGCCCTCGCGGAATTCCCAGATGTTGTAGTTACCGATTTCCACAGTGTCTTTACCCCGGACGACGTATCTACTCCTTTTTCCGGGCTCGTGAGGCATCTTCAAGCGTTCTGTTTTAGCTCTGGTGTAGAGATAAGGCACTGGAAATAATTATATAATAATTTATGGAAAAACGTGAATTTTGTCGAGTGATTTTCGGGGATTCCCCTGTTTTCTTGGCTATCGATTAAAAAATAATGACCAACCCTTTTTGCGAGACGCCACATTGTCCGGATACATTGTGTAAAAATAAACATTTCTGAATATAAAACCAGCGGAGTCGTTCTGATTGGGGTACAAATCAAGATCTCTCATGAGATCACGAAAATTATCGTGCTGTCTGGGTACCAGGAACTCGTCGACATCAAATGTACCCACGTATTTATAACTATGGTGATGAGTATTTCGGTAGAGGCAGTCGTTGAGGGCTGCAAAGAGACCCTCGTGTCTTAGTGTTTGCTCGTAAACGTAAATTGATGGTAAATTCCAGTTTAGAATAGTCGCTGTCAGTTTTGTTCTGTAATACGTGAGGACTTTGTCTACCTCAGGTGTGACTGATGAGTTGTAGAGGGTAAAGTGATTGATTCCCATCATCTCGTAGTACTCGATAAACTCGATTAACTCCAGGGCACGATTGAAATTGTGATGGAGCACTGTTGACAGTCCAATTGAGGCATTAATATATCGTAATTCAGTGGAGGCATTTGCTTTTTATTTATCTTTTTTTTTATGAATTAATGAGATTTGAGGTTTACCTGGTACACACACAGCCATGAAATCACTTTTTTCTTGAGATAATTGTTTCATCCCATACTTTGGATAATGCATATCGACGAATTGTCCATTATCATCGTCTTCGTGGTGATGGACAATTCGAACAGCTTCTGGAAGCTGTCGATAATCGTAGGCATTCTCAAGGTTCTTATACGTCAGGTCACATATAATGAAAAATGCTGAGTACTCTAGATCCCAGTGGTCGTTTAAAATTCTCAGTTGGGCTGGGATTTTCTTGAAAATGGTTTGTCGATCGTTGTCTTCAAATTGAAGAACGCAGGTGAGATGCTGGCTTTGTGTGTTTGTCGGTAGCAGTGCTACGATGAATATTTCGCCAAAGGTATTCGCACTGGAGCGAGAGTACTTGAGGATTACTTCGGGGCGTGGGTCAAAATATGCCGAGTAAATGTGGCCGTTGATGCCCGCGACAGGTAGCCATTTGTCACCTTCGGTGAAGATCTCTCTCGTCATGTATTCCATTTCGAAATCTATGATGTCAGCTATCTCGTTTTGCAGTTTGTAGATCTGCCTGAGTTTGTACTCTCTCTGACAGAAAAGGGAAAACAACTGTTGATTTATCTGAACAGGTCGTTGGTATTTTTCTTGACAAATTTTTCCACTTACCGATCGTACAAATATGAATAAAAGTCCGATGATAATTCCAATGAGTGTCAGTGTTACTTTGCAATACCTGGACATGGTCCAATTTGAGACTATCGGTTTGTGGAGTAGTTGATAACTCATTATATTTCTATTTGTTCTTGTCTCGTGTCACCGTTTTCTAGACATGGTCTCCTTTAGGCTAATGGATTTATTTTGTGAAGGAATGCACTCAATACTTGGAAAGTTACACGAACCACTGACACATTTGTAAAACTTCTGTTATCTCTCAGCTGTTAGATAAGCATGCAGGAGGTATGTCTTAAGTCACAATTACAGAATATTACCTGTTAATGTTTCTGAGAAGAAATGAAAAGATTATTTTTATTGAAATATCGTTTTTATTAATTGTTGATTTACAAAAATGGTAAAATGCAGTACAACTCAGTAGCGAAATGGTAAAGTTGGATTAGTCGAATTTGAATCTCGCTGAATTATCGATTTATCTCGAAGATCCAATAATTCTGGAGATCAATAGGTATTTAATCAATGGAATTGTCGTTATCTTCATTTATTTTTTCGGTACGCAAATTCGAGGAAAAATGATAGACTTGAAGGAAGAGTAACAACCGAGGGATTAACAATTGGGGAATTATTTAGTAACAGAGTCGAGCCACTTGTCAATCTTCTCTGAATTCATTTTCACCCATTTGATATTATTGGCAACAGTTTCGAGGGCGCCAGCCCTGAAGGCCTTTCCAGCCCCAGCCTCGGGGTACTTATTGAAAAAGTCTTTGAGCTCTTGCAATTTAATTTCAGTAGCGAAGGAAGCTGCTATACCTGGGACTAGCTGTCCCAGATACCTATCATTCAGTGTGTAACGTTTTACCAAGAACTCCCAGTTTTCTCTAACCCAGTCCCAGACGAGGGGTGTACCGATGGAATTTCTTGATATTGCGAGGAGACAGCCAATTGTATCCTGCGATCTAACGTATTTCTCATCGACAGCTATTCCAATGAACTTGGTGAGGAGCCAGCTGGATTGTACAGCAGCTAGTCCACGCTGTAGATTGAGCTTTTCACTTGCGTCAGTCTCATCGACAAATCTCTTGAACATAACGTTCCACTCTGCTTCCTTTCCAGCATAACTCATACCATAAGCGTAGACTAATTCCCTGATGTCTGGATGGGGTCTATCGTCTCTCTCGTTGTTTATCCAATTTTTGAATATATCGCCAACGTCCTGGAGACACTCGACATGTCCAACTGTACAGGCAAGACTCAGGATTGATGATCGCAGTCTTCTCATGTTGTGGTCCTCGATATTGTCCACCTGCCACGTTACGAGGTGATAGGAACTGTCCACTAGTTCTCTGATGTACTGTCTGTATTTTGGCAAGATGTCAGTCGACGCCAGGAGTGTGTCAATGGTTTTCAGATTGGCACCGGCTACTCTCCAGGGGGTTACGGACTCCTCTTTCTTTAGGTACGACGTCATTCTCAAGGCTATTGTGTAGTCCAGTTGAGAGGCGTGGGCTAGACTGAAGGCGTCCTCGATCAGGCTCGTTCTGTCTGAAACTGTGAGACTCTTGTGACCTGTTTGCAGGATTTCTACGAAGTTATTCCACTCTTGTAGGTCGTAGTTGACTCTGTAATAACCCACTTGGTCGTGATTGAATTTTACCCACTCAGCTGGCTCTGACAGTTTGATCTCTAGTTTACTCGCGTCTTTGTCGAACCATACCAACGTTGGGCTTTCATTCTGATCGGTAGTGTATGTGATAGGAATTGTCCATTTGTAACCATAATCCGATTTTGTTGGATCGTACGTGGCGTCCGGATCTGCCAAAAATCTTTTCTGGGTCAGGGTGTACGTTGTGTTAGCTCTCGTGACGTTCACCACTGGAAAACCCATCTGTCTTGTCCAGGTGTCCATTATCGCGGTGATATTGACCTTTGCTCCAGCCGATTTTTGGAGAATTCTGAAGAGATCTGCTGTTTCAGCATTGCTATATTGGAATTGATTTAGATATGTTGTTACGCCCCAGTTGAAGGTCTCCGAGCCAACGAAATTGTCCAACATTCGGAGGACTGATGCTCCCTGAAAGAGATAGATTGTAATTGAAATAACGATCTTGATGTTTTTATTAAAAATAGAGATAAGGCGATTGACATACTTTGCTGTAAGTTATCCCGTCGAATATGGCAGTAATTTCATCGGGATTAGTAACAGTCTGTACGATAGGGTGTGAACTGAGTTTAGCATCGGTGATAAAAACCGGGTGAAGGGTCTCTGGGAGAAATCTGTCCATGACACCCCATTGTGGTCGAATACTATCGGCACTCTTGTACTGCATGTAGCTGGCGAAGCCCTCGTTCAACCAGAGATCGTGCCACCAGCCCATCGTTACTAGATTACCAAACCACATGTGGGCAAATTCATGGGCTATCACCTGAACAATGCCCTCTTTATCAGCTGTTGAGCTTGTTTCTTTGTCGTACAATAGTCTAGCTTCTCTGTAAGTGATGAGTCCCCAGTTCTCCATAGCGCCGGATACAAAATCTGGTATTGCTGCCATATCGAGTTTAGGGAGTGGATAATCGATTTTGAATAGATTTGTGTAGAATTCTATGATCTTTACACCGATCTGCAGTGCAAAATCGGCTTTATCTTTTTGGGCTCTTGTTGTGTAGACACTTATGGGAAATGTTTCGCTCTCGTTGAGCTTTCTGGCTGGCGCTGTTACACAAACAAAATCACTAACGATGAAGCACATTAGGTACGTTGACATTTTGACACTCTTGGCAAAAGTTACGGTTGTCAGGCCTAGATCGGGCTCGTTTATTAATGTACTCTCGGCATTCATGCTGGAGAGGGCATGATAACCATCGCCTGTTGGATGAACTAGCTTAACTGTAAATTCGGCCTTGAAGGAGGGCTCGTCGAAGCAGGGAAATGCCCTTCTGGCGTAGGTTGGCTCGAATTTTGATGTGGCTATCACTTTGTCGCGATTGCTCTCGTCTTTGTAGTGACTAGCGTAGAAGCCCACGATTTTGTCAGGCTGCAGTGCACCCTCGAAATCGAAATGCAACTCGTATATACCCGGGCGTATGTCCTCATTGAATGTTACAACTAGCTCTTCAAGGGTTCCAACGGTGTAGCACTCTTTTATCGGGATCTCTGCGTTCTCCGCTAGGTCGAATGTCTTTAGACTTGCATTTGTGATGTTCAGGTCCTTCTGGTGGAGGGCTATGTAGGTTCGCTTGGATTTAACCGTAATCAGGATGGTTACGCGCCCTGAAAAGGTCCCTTTCACTAGGTCAGGGTGGAGATACAGATCGTAGTGCATCGGCTTAACATCTGGCGACAATCGAAATCTCACTTCTGTTGATTGATCTTTTGACGACATCCTGGAGTACGCCTGCGGTCGGGAATCTGGGGAATAATTAAATTGAGTCTTTGGAGATTATTTTGAATTTTTATTTTTTAAAGACATACCGGGAAAATACGTATGAATTCTACTGTTTCCAGTTTGATTATGCAGGGTCGAGAGCACTCGAAATAATCTGGGTACTTGATATGTTAATCTCCGGCATGCGCGATAAGACATCGTTTGATTTAAAACCGTTGTTTAATAACATTCATTAATTTATTTTGCATATTTCGATGGCGCGATGATATTTTCCTTCAACCAAAATTTTCTTCGTCTAGAAGGGAAATAAATATCGCAGTTGAAAAGTTGAAAAAAAAATAACACCACGTCGTCTTTTATTGTTTATTTTTTTTTTTAATGTGATTGGTGATTTTTTTTTTTTTAGTGATTTTTCGCGGAAAGATGGCTAGTGCGATTGTCGATTTCTCTTACCTTGGGCTGATACTTGGGATGACTGGACGATAATCAGGAGAGTTATCGTCAGAGTGCAGATTAATCCGAGGACAACGCAGGAGCAGCAGATGCAGGCGAATATCGGTGAGTCCAATTGATTTTTCCGAATGAAATTTTGCGTGCGAGATACAGCGGGGACATTACTAGAACAGTCCCTCGGTATTGGTGTCACATGACCCATATCGCTCATTATTGCAATGCGCAGGCGTGCGTGTTGAGGTGTCGGCGCGCTATTTTTTGAATCAACAGGTTGATAGAGATGCTCTTTTTTTTACCCTCTTTTCGAATCTTTCACTGGTTGTCTTTTACGTGATTTCACGGGTCCCACTGACAATCACATTTACGCGAATTATTTTTTTTTTCACCTCTCCGACAATTGAGTAACTAGTCAATATTTATCCGGATCTATTGTTTAATCTTGAAAAATAGAGGCTGAACACACGACGTGAATAAATAGTAACGAAAATCACGTAACTGGTGTGAATAAATATGAAAATTTTTTTGCCGATATATAAAAATTGGGGGAGGGAGTGTTATACCAAGAGAGGACTTTGCACTGTCGCCAACAGTCAATCGTTTAATGAGAATTTTCTCATTATTGTGGCCCCGATATTGGCAACTTTCACCCGTGTATTACGGGCAATTTTGAAATAAAACTCGAAACGCAAATGAACTCGATGAGCCAATGATAATTCGACATTTGTTGTGCTAGTGCTATCTGCTAGTGCTAGTGGGGGCGTTATCGCGGAAATGCGACGAAGAACTAAATTGGTGACTACTTGGGATATGAACTGGACTCGATGACTCCCATTCAAATGTCTAAGTATCGCTGTTGTAATTGGAACGAATTGAATAATTGGGTGGGGGGTGGTAGGAGTACGAAAGGGCGAATTTTACTGAATTATTCAGTGATAAATCACTCAAATCGACAGCTGAATTAAATTTATCAGTACCGAATTGTTTATTCATAAAATCAATCTATTTTAGAACGTATTGTTTTTTTTTTTCTTTCGTTACAAGTACTTCTTGAGATTTAAATTGAGATTAATCGGGGAAAATTTATTTTCACGCGCCCATAGGTAGATAAATTAGGCCCGCGCCGGTGGTAATTAGGGTTAATCGTGCGTCTAATTGAATATGCAAGCGTCTTGGTCAATAGTGCAATATTAGCACGTATTCTACACCAAATATTGTTTTAACAATACCGCGTATTTAGTTATTCTTTCGTGTCACGATCGGTGGAACGTGCGCGTCATAAATATGCAATTTGTTGGCCCATTGCGTAATTTTTAAAAGATGGAGAATTTTGTGGAGCTGAACTAGAGATAATCGTTCTGGAATATGATCGGATTAGTCAAGAGAGTTTAGACGGTTTTGGTGTAATTTTTTAGTGAGTAGAAAAATGCAAATTTCCATTGTGAAAAATATAAATGAATATGCAACATCAGCAGACCTTGGGCTCTTGCACTTACAGCATTGACTCAAATTCTGTCGACGTTATGATTCAATTGTCTCTCGGAAATAAATCCCCGATATTTATTTCACGACAAAATAATTCATGGGGCGGGATAAAATAAATTCACAGTAAGCTATTGATCGTAATAATAATTTATTCATAAATACAATGTAAATATTAAGATAAAACGGTTGGTAATGTGCGGGAGAACAAATGTGGATGATTAGGCCATTCTAAATTGTTATTGTCTATGGTTTTTTTTTTTTTTTGTTTTATTTTTTTCAATCCTCTGAGACCCGAGTCAGAGGTGAAGAAAAATTCTACAATATTCCAATCTTACAAAATAAAATCTTGGAAAAAAAAAAGGGGGAAGAGTGTGAGCTGAGCTCTCAGCCATACCGATTGATACTATTTGTTTCATTAATATTTTCCTCTTAGTCTTGTGCTGTTTTGTCAATATTCTGACAGCGTTTGCCCCCATCCACAATGCATTGTATAAAAAATAATGAATCATACATGCGAAATGATATATCTTTACGTGTAAACGGAAGACTTAACTTTCAAGCAATCGAACGCGTATTTTCTCCTCTTTTTTTTTTCTGTCACGTATATTATTCTATTTGTTTTAGTCGCGTCATATAAAATTGAATAATTGAAATATCACCACAAAGTCTCGTTAATAATCACGCCCGTTTGTGACTGAAATTTTCATAAAATTGTGTGGAGCATAGGGAAAACTAGGTGGATATTGTGGCCGATGAAAAATCAGTCAAACGCGATTAAATAGTCATTTCACTCGAGTTAATTATTGATAATAATTTAGTCACACTTGTTGCTTATCTCCACGTCTTGTATCTCCTCGGGTGACATGTCAGCGTCACCCCATCCCCATATTGCCCCCTCGTGTGAATGCTCGTGATCATTATCCTGTTTTACACGCGTACCATCGCCAGTTCTAGCAGCACGTTTTTCAATCATGGAGATTGGTACGGTCTTGAGGTCGTATGCCTGTCCAATTGATGCGAAAAAATCAATGAAACCTGTCGTAAAATTGCCACGGTAATCACCAAGCTCGGCTGCTTTGTAATCCCAGGGAAACACGTGGTGATAATTGTGCCAGCCTTCGCCAAATGCACCAAGTGCTATCTTGAAATTGTCGGTTGGGCTTATGGATCTGTTGAGAGGAAAAATAATTATTAGAATTATTATTCAAGGCTGTTGGAAGGCAGAGGTGAATGGTTTGTTTGGCTTTCTCATATTTTGAGGTGATTAATGATTTATTCATGAATACTCACTTGTCGTATGGTTTTGTGCCCCATATGTGGGCTGCTGAATTGACTAGCCATGTGAGATTCAGGGACATGGTGTATCTGAATACTGTTATGTACCATGCGTACATTGGTCTTTCATTCCAGAAGTGAATTGGTATCCAGGTGGGAATGAGAAAACATATGAGGGGCATGAGGAGTAGGTAGAGTCGTCTCTGCCATACTACCACTGGATCAGCATCGAGATCGCTCATATCCACGGTTTTTCCCTTGTTGATGACGTCTGGGTGTTTGCGAACTAGCAACCACCCCATGTGCGAGAAGAAAAAGCCTCTTTTAGCGTTGTGGGGATCGGCATCTGTGTCTGTAAATTTGTGGTGGACTCGGTGATCTCTCACCCACTCGTAGATGTGATTCTGCAAATTATTGGGGTATCGCTGGTTAGTTATTCGATTTTTCAGTAGTTTTTATTGTTTTTCGTGGTACCTGGAAGGCGAGGGTTTGGAATACCATGAGGAGAATTCTCATTGGTAATTTAGCTTTGTATGATCTGTGGGCCCAGAGTCGGTGGGCACCACCTGTTATTCCAACTGCTGAAGCTGTTCCCACTGTGAAGACTGTAAGTGAAGGTCAAATCGACGGTTAGGGGTGGCTTTTTTTTTCTTTCTTTCTTTTTGCTTTGTTGGGGAGTTTGAGGGGAGATGGTGTGATTCGGGTACTCACAGAAGATGAAGGTTAGGATGTTGGCTTTGAAGAACAGCAGGTAGCTGCCGTAGAGTGCAGCTACGTGCAGGTAGACGAAGGCTATCACATTTCTCCAGACAATTCGCCATTTGTATTTTGATTGTTTGGTTGATTTGTCTAATGGTGTTGTTGAAACTGTTTTTAATTCTGTCGTTGATTTATTAGCTTCGGCACTCTGCGATGCCTCCAGGAAGAGGGTCGCCGAACTGCCAAAGAGATTCGGCGCCATGATTCAGGATCTGGTGATATATAGGTGATTTGTTAGGGTGATCTAGTTATCGTGAATAAATTGGGAATTTTTATCAGTTTGGATTAATGGGCGAATGAATTATCGGTGACCATCGATCTTGATTGATTAATGTCGGTATTCATACGTTATAATTTCAGTTTCGTAAGTGATATGCGTCAGAAATGACTGGTGAAAGAAAAATTAACGTTACTGTTGTTTGTCATTCACTTGTAAGGTCAGCACTGGTGGGTTTTTAGAAACCACAAGTTAAGGTTGAAAGGGAACTCGCGGTCGTAATTTTTGTCTCGATGATGAGATGAGTCACTCATTTTTTTTTCTTTCTTTTTCTTTTTTTTTTTGAGATTGTGGTAATTTTCTTGCATTTTGTTGGGATTGAAGAACCGCGACATATATTCAGGGGCAGTGAGATAATGAGTCAATTTGCATGGAAAATGTAGGATTTTTGTTGGAAATGATCGGTAAATCGGCGGCATTTCAATCGAGCAAATATTATGGGTTTATTAGAATCCTGAACTTGCTCTAATCAGTGGAAATATTGCATAAAAATTGACTCACGAGTGAATAAAGAAGTAACACGTGAATGACTTACGTCAACTCAAGAAATATGAAGTTTTAGTTTTTTTTCCAGTGGATTATCATGAGTTTGAATCAAGTTGTTTGCAAATCAAATGTCTGAGGGGAATACTAATCGCGCGAGTCATAAATATTCGGGAATTTTTTGGTTTTAAAATATTGGTCCGGCGGTTTGGAAATATTTCGGGGATTAATTATCAAGTGGTTGATGAATAGTAAACCTTGAATTCGGCATTTTCAAGAGTAAATAGGCGGGAGAAAGGATGCCAACGGTACATGCAGGCTTAATTTTTCATTAGCTCTCTTAGTGTACTACGAGATGAAATGAAAAAAATGCGATCACTGTCCCAGATATTTTTTTCCCATTGAATACTCAATGACTCCGTCATCAGTCATTAGGAATAATTATGAGGAATGACTGATGAATGGAGGAATTTATCGGAATTCACTGAACTGTACCACAGAGAGCTGATTGAAATTTTTTTTTACAAATGGGATAATTCAATCGAATTGACGTTCTGACTGGTTTTTTAATGACAAATAACTCGATATTTTCTGAGTGAAATTATAATTACTTTTATCGAATTTGAAGTCATTATTCCGGTGGTTGAAATGAGATGTGAGTCGTTTGTGTTGGATCGATCAATCGCGAGATATCGATTATTGATGTGGATTTGGGGTAATTAGGGGAAAAGTGGAATTTATTTATGGTATGTCGTACAAATGAAATTTGAATGGTCGTATTATGGTCTCAGTAAGAGTGTCCGAGATTAAAGAATTTCACCGTAAGATTGGAAAACGGTACTTGCTAGAATTCAAGAAGAGATAGCAAGTGGTAGGGGAAAAGTGAAACGAGGTAGAAAGACATGAACGGTTTGAATCTTGAGCTTGAAGTGAGATGAAGAGTCTGTAGCGGTCCGTTGAAACATGTTCCATTGGTGAAGATCGAGGCCAATGGTGATTTTCAGGTCAATGAGAATGTATTTATCCTGCACGGGTATATTGTCCCATTTTATATTATCACTTGTATGGTCGTAATTTTTTTTTTTACTTTTCATAAACTTTCGGTAGAAAATTCAGCTAGGTTTTCAACGATTTTTTTAAATTGTCGTTTTGTTGACGAAGTTATTTAACTCTTTGGTTGTTACTGTTATCTTCAGCAGGGTCTGTTATCAAAAGTCGTTATTCGCTTACGCGCTATTTCAGGTTTTTACTTTCCGCATGTTACACGTGACGGAGGGGTTTTTTTTTTTTTTTTTTAATGATGGTATAATTTTGGAGACGCGACGCGAATGATTTTTCATTATTCGAAGGTTTGTCGGTAGTTTTTTTTTCATTTATATTTCATTAGATCGGGCAATAACTAGAGAATTATGCAGACGATCACGTGCTCCGGCTTTTTCACAATTACTCATTGTTTATTTAACCGAGTAGGAAGTGGATGTCAAACGATTGCGCGAACCATTGTTAATAAACCTGCGTTTACTCTGAATTTCCGGTTGTATCGAGTTTAATAAATATTTGGCGATTATTCCATTCAATATTTTGAATATTTTTCAACCGCAGTATTCCAATCACTCGGTGATTTCACTTGCGGTTTTATTATTTTTCAATTGAATTATTCGATTCGTATGAACTTAATGATGTAATTGATCGTTAAGAAATTTTAGGGTTTTTTTTTTTTTTTGTGGAAGATTAATAAACTCACATGATGTTGGATGCAGTGAATCAGGACGTGTATCTGGTGAAAATTCCCAGGGAGTGATTTAAAAAAAAAAACAGATTGTTAATTAAATATATTTATCGAATCACCAATGAAAAACAGATCCGTTCTGTTCGCGTGTTCACAACGAAATACGGGGATGGATGAGCGTATGTCCCACTTATGGAGTTTCTTGTTGCCCCCCCAGTTCATTTCTCACTAACCAAAACACTTTACCCCCTCCATCATTGGGGGGGAAAAAAAAATAACCTGTCGACGGTGTGAACTAAAATTGCCTCGATATTAGAAGGAAATCCACCAGTCAGTTGTGAAAAAAAAAATTATTCTAATTGGTAATTAGAAGGGGATGATGGTGATGCCACTGGCTAATTTCTCAATTTCCTCATTTTCAATTTGAATTATTTTTCCCACGTTTAATAATTGGCTAATGCAAGTTCCGCTGAGGTGCTCGATTCCGGTGGTTTCTATTTATTTATTTTTTATTTTTCTTTGTTTTTCATTTTTTTTTCTCTCTTTTCCGGCGTTTCGAGTGCTTTGAGTGATAACTGACGGTCTGACGATAGTCTGGCGATGATAATCCTTTTTTCCCCCCTTTAAATATCGCGGAAATGGCGCGTTTAGACGATTAAAAAAATTTCGGGTTTGCAATTTAAGGAGATTTATCATTTCAATTAATGAGGGAAAATTAATGGGAATAATTGGTGGAGATCTAGGGAATTTTTAGTGTACGTGTTGAAAAACACGTACACTCCTCAGAGTTGTGAAACTATCGTGAATTGTCATCTGAAATTTAGTGATTCCCTGGGATTTCCAACGATACTCTGCCCTTTCCATTTCAAAATAATTCTCAAAGTCAATAGATGAGATTTTTTTTTTATTTAAAATAATAGACAAGTCATCCAATGGTACAATTACATTCGGATCTCATCCTCAAATGAAGATACAATTATTTATTCAGCTCTTGTGAATCCCGGGAGCACCAAAAAATAATGCAAAGACCCTCCGGCACTGAGATGCATGCAAAATATTCAAATAAACATTCATAAACAAATTCAACGGTAGCACATTGACTGGGAAAGTTTAAATCCCCCATGATGCGTTGAAGGGAATTAACTCTGTCGTAATCATGACAACAAAGTTGCATATTTAATTATCATACCACCTATTGTAGTTTGACAAAAAAAAAAAAATGCTGATTCACAATTTATGCGATACAATTCTCACGGTGTTTATAAAATCACTCCAATTATCTCAATGAATTCACTACGTGCGATACGCCGAAACAATAAATAACAATTGATTAGGGGTATTGCAATAATTGATGTATGTAATTTTAATGGGTGGATAGATGTATTTAAAATTCACCCGAGATGAGTGTCCTTGGGCCTGAGAACTCGTTTGAATTTTAATCTCTCTCATTATTTCTCCCACCCTCCTTCCACCCCACTTGAGGTAATATTTCGTAATTTTTGTCAGTCTCTTCCCGCGTTATTTCTACATTTAACACCATTATATTTCGATATATTCCTCTGATCGGTTTCAGGGTCGTTGATCCATTAGTTGTCTATATGGCGACCGGTTAAACACGTGGATGGTACCTGTTTATTGCGCCATAATATAAAAACCGGCGAATGCCGATTCAATAATTCCTGGTGGGATAGACCTTGACGGGTCATCGGTATATTGTGAAAATTTTTTTTTTTTTTCTTCTTTCAAGTTTTACGGGAACATCGAGGGTTGTCAGTGGTAGCTCACCCTCGGGAAAATTTTCTAGGTTTAAAAATAGTTTGAGGTGTTATGAGTCATTTTAGCAGGGATTTCCCGTATCGTGTGTTTGTACGATTTTTTAAATTCAATATTTGATGGCTCGAGTGGTTTCCGTTCGTTTACGTCGAGTATTGACATGTCATCATGTATTTTTGCAATTAAATTTGAGAGAATACAGGATTTGTTGAATTTTAATACGAATTATTGGTGATTGAAATGTTTTTTCACTCTTCAAGTTCTTGTATTTCGGATTGTGAGTGAAATCCTTTGGGCGAAATAATTTATAAATCAAATCCACAACTTGAGATCTAGTAATTTGTTTATAAGAAATGGGGAGCGCTATTTTTTTTTTGTGATAGTGATAATGCAGTTATTTATCATTGGGGTTGGTCATTTTTTGAATAAATAATTATGAAATTTATCGGGGGTGGATTGCTAATTAATCGAGAAAATTCTGACGTAATTTTGAATTATTATTTCTAAACTCAATTGCTTGGGAAATTTTTGCAACAGTCGCGTCGAATTTTACACCGTCACTCGTTAATTTTTATTTTCTTCGTGACTATTTCCGTACGATTTAAACCTGAGAAAGGTGTACAACAGCTGTCATTACCCTACGTACTCGTATTGAGTCCACGGTCGAGGCCATCGGGTGCTAAATCCGCGACGAATGAATGATTTGAAAAATTTTCCATTGAAGAAAAAAGAAAAATATTTTCTATGAAAAATCGAGTCAAAATCTAGGTACGTGACATGCCTAAATGAACAGCTATTGTGTAAATTTATTTTCAAATGACGTACAGTAATCTTTTGTTTGACGAGAGGAGAGAAAAAAAAGTGAAATAATTTTTTTTTTTTCTTCTCTTACCGCTCGTGTGTCCAAACTGCTCAGGGATTCCAATTTTGTATTCCGGATTTTAATGAGAAATGAGAGGGATTTGTACAATCACCTTGAGTCTAGCTCTAGTGGGAAAAACAAGGGAAGTATCTACGTCAAAACATGCATTAGCATGCTGTACAAAAGTTCATGTGTCTGATGTTAAAAGACGGATAAAATCCAATGGAATTGCACTATGAATTTTTGTTTTTTAATTGGCGTAACTGCACGGAGAAAAATATTTAGTAAAAATGACTGAAATCGACTCGGAAAATTTACGGTATCACCATTTTTCACTGATAATTCTGATGAAAATGGCGAAACGCCGCAGAAAAATTGACAGCTCGGTAAAATTTTCTGCAATGACATTTCGGAAAATATACGTAATTTTTATAGAATATATTTTTCTCCGTGTGTGAGTTGGTAGTAATAAGCGATTTCTATTGACTTCAATTGAATACTCGGAATTTCACAGTATGATTACCGATAGGCTCTCAATTTCGCGATTTTTTTTATCGATCATTTTCCCTTTTGAAAATAGAATTACAGTGAATTATCGGGGAGAAACTGATGTTAATATGTAGTGTTTGAGCGTGTGATCTCAAATGAGGCTGAGAAACGGTACATATCCTCAAAAACTGTCTCCTCAATAGGTGGTGGTGATGAAAACAGGTGCCACTTTGGTGGAGAAAGAATTTTGCCGATTAGCTTGGCCGTTAAAACCGACGAAAGAGAATTCAATAAAAATTTTCAATGCTCTTATTAACAATCGTAAAACAATCCTAAACCTAGATACTTGTACTGTTTGAGTTATACTCGTACTTCTCGCAACTAGTAACTGTAAAAAATAACAATAATTATTCAAATAGGTATTTTAGGTTGTATATATCGTTGTCGTACCCTATTGAAATGAAAAACCGCCCTCTGTCCTGTCGTTGGGGGTTTCCTCCAGGTTCACTCGATCCTCCGGTCATCGGCACGATTAATTGTACGATTGATTGATTAATTTGGGGGGGGGGGGGGGGAATTTTCTTGGCAGTACTGATGGGAGAAAGGGGAGGGATTATTGCGATTTTTGAGAAATGTTTAAGTAGTGGAGACAGTCCGTACCCGATCAGCCGGCCAGGTTGTGCGTTCAGTAGCGCTACTGGGGTGATGGAAAAATTTAGCAGAAGCTCGGGGATGATGTCGATAAGGAAGACACATCCTGATATCCGGTAATGCGCGGTGAAAAAGAATTTTTAACCGCGAATTTATCGGGAAAAATGCAATTTTTTTTTTTAACAATTTCAATACATCTTTGGAATTTCAAATGAAAAAATATAATTTTGAAAATTTTTGAGGGATTCGCGGATGAGGAGTTTTTAGGTTAGTGGTGGGTTAAAAGGAGAAATTAGAATTGAGGCGCTAAATATGAGAGGAATTTGACGGGGTTATTTTTATAATGGGAGAAACGTTTTGAATTTTATCGTGGGTTTGGGAAACACGAATGAATTAGTTGTGTTTGGTCATCAAATATTTTTGAGGGACCAGTTGGCACAGCAATTCATTATGTTTACTCAATAATATTGTTTTTACCTTGAGTTTGATAAGGAGAGGGCAATTATTGAATTATTATTTTTTTTCGATAGTGGTTTTTTCGATCTTCAAAATGATATTCGATTCTTTTAAATCGCGACCTTTGATCTCGAGATATCGATTAGTCAATCCGATCTAGTCCTCATTACCTTTCACTCACAAAATAATTGAATTGAAAAAATTCAAAAATGACATTATTTATGTCAAGGCTAATTATTTCATCGTTATTAATTAGAAATTGGTAGTCGAATTATTTTTGTAATCTTCATATTTGAGGATTGTATTGAATTATTCTGGTCGATATTGAGGTCTGATTTGAACGGCACATGTTGCCAGTCTTAAAATCTTGAGGATGAGACTGAAGGTCAAGTTTACTAGAATTATTGTTATTATAACACACTTGTTTGATATTAGAAAGTTGTCCTTCTGTTCGGCATTAAAATTTTCAAACGTCTTTACCCATTTAAACAATTAAATTCATAACAAATTCCATTGATTTCGTAACCGGCAATTACTCCTTCAAAATGTTAAGTGTTTTACACGCGTAATTTGTTCCTTTCATTTTACGGTTCCTTTTTCGGAAAGTTCTCGTGGAAAAATTATTTTTTTCATTGGAAATTACCGCTAATCATTCCATTTAATGACGTAATAATGAAAGCTCATTTTGAAAACGGAGAAATAATATTGTCGATATATTAGCAAAGAGGAATTGTTTTATTTATTTTTTTTTATTACAATTGACGTGCTGTCTGTTGGTAATGGAGACATCTGCACCTGCCACAGCAGATAATCCAGATGTTTAAAATTTGAATTTTCTTTTTGCGCCGATTTCTCAATCGTCTGTGAATTATCACGATTTCTAGATTCTGGGATGCGTAAATAATTGAATTAAATATTTCATATATTTTATTAACAATTTCAATCTTAACAACTAAATTGATGAATAATCGAGATAAGAGTAGATTAATATTTGGAGAAATTGCTGGGAGCCGAAAAAAAAAATTGTATAGATAATTTCTAGTCATTGCTGATAAGCTGATAAATAATCGATAAATGGTTCAACAATGTTACTCGTGATAATTGTTAATAGCGGATAGTTTTTGAAATTTAATCTCTAGTCATTGAGGATAATAATCGAAACGAATTTCGTGGAATAATTTCTTCACACTTGTGCGCAGCCGCTGCGGATGGAAATTTAAATCCGTAATAACTATCGAAAGTCCCGGTACAGAGAGCCTGCGGCACTTTTGTGAAGTAACAAAACTAACTTGAGTGTTTTAGTTGACGTGATCCATTGCCACACGGTTCTTCGTTTTCCATTATTTTTCGTGTTATGCGGATAAATATTTTTGTTTCTATGAGAGGTGATGTGCAAAAGTAAACAGTGAATTATCTCCCTAGAATAAAATAAATCGATAAAGATTATTTTTCAATTTATCGCAGGTAAGTGAGTTTGAACCATTGAATAATTAAAAATTAAAATTTATACAAATCGATCAAATTACCAGAAATAAATTTCAACGAATTTTTGTTTATTAGATTCATCTCTCGGAATAATAATTTATCTCATTGCGTAAATCGGTAGAAATTGTTATTGTAGATTGTTGTATTGAGAGTATCCCTGAACTGTTTCTCTCAATTTCCATCAATTCTATTCTATTTGTTGTGCGTTCGTTCCAGTAATTTCACTCTTCGCTCCGTCTCATTAATTACTCGTGGCAGTGGTAAACAATTTAATTTCTCAATTTATTAATTTTGACTAGAATGGGGGGGAGAGGATCTTCTCGGAGAATTGGAAAATTTTTTAGATAATAGGGTGCCACCTGCGCGATAACTGAGTCATTCATGCAGGTGTGAAAATAATAGATAACGAAATGGGATATAAACCCATGTTTTTCATCAGATTTCTAGTTCAGGTGATTTGATGAATTTTTTTATTTGAAAAATATTTGTGGTTTTTCACCGGGAGCTGATGTAAGTTTGAGGCACCTCATGATTTTAATTGTTTCATCAGTTACTGAGTCATAATTTTTTTTATTTTATGCCAGTGGTGATGTTTGTTCGGTTAATATGCCTTTAGTGCAGTCTTCCCACTATCATCTAATCAATTATCTCTTTAACACGATTATAACTCGTGACAACTAGTCTTTCCATTTTACATATTATTTTCTTCGTTATTTCGATGAATTTTATCATTTCCCTCGAGAATATTTGGCTTTTTATTGAAAAATTTATTGACTCGTTCAATTTAAACTTCAATGGAACATTGTCCGCTGCATTAAAGGGGTCATCCTGGGTTTATTACGAGTAGAAAAAAAAAATATTGCGTAACGATTTGATAGTTGAGAGGATATTATTTTTCCTTGGGAGTAGTCGAGGTGTTGATCATGATTCATTTGGCTGGTGAATTTTTAAGAGTTGACTAAAATTCATTTCTGGTATTTTCTCGGGTATTTCTGGGGGGTAATGATATTTGGTTGGAATATTGATGGATTTTTTTTTTTTCAGTACCTGTTGTCTGGTGAATGAATCCGATATGTCGCCAAATTATCGAGACAGTGTGACTAATAATGTCATTGTAAAAAATAACGAAAAAATTCCGGGGGTTATTTACAGACCAGCTGTTAAATGGCCAGATCTATTTGTACAAATTTTCATTCATGGTGGATGTGCCTATGGGATTTATCTTATTTTCACCGAGGCCAAGTGGCTAACGACACTCTGGGGTATGTTTCGAGTTAATGTGTGTGGTGTTTTATGTTTTTTTTTTTTTTTTTCACTGTATGATAACGACTGATGTCTCGTTTGCCTATTGACAGTCGACACGACATTCGTGTTGAATTTTTCAAGTCCAGTGTCTCGATGACACGAATATCCTAGCCTCTTGCATTGCCAACTTAATTAATAACAATTGGGTCAATTTCAGTCGGAATATCAAATGACTTTTTGGTGAAAATCTCCGGATCTAGTGGGGGTACGAAAAAATATCACTCCTCCTTTTTTGCAGCTCTTGAAATTCTCTATGAAAAAGGCTAAGCTATTATTTTTACATCTCCATCGGGTCTCGAGTTATTCAGAAAAAACTTTCACTTCGTTGAGCTTTTTTTTTTCATTATCATTATTTCTGGTGGGAATTAATCGTTGGATTAATTATGGGACTTGATGTTCTAGAAAAATCTATTATCGTTTTCTGACCTTCGCGATGAAAATTCTGCCATCAACGGAATTGCGAATCAATACTTGGCGTGTTTACTCCGTGTTTTATGGTAGGGATTCTCTTTTCTGTATTGAATACCCGGGATTTGCTTTGAAATTGATTTTAAATAGCGAGCTCATGGGGTTTATCCTCTGAGGTATATTCCAGGCGCCACCCCGACTGGATTTTATGATCGCTTGGAATTTAGTCGCTGAATATCCTTATAAATCTCAATAGAGTGAATTTCTTTCAGTGTTAGAAACTCGAAAACGTCTAATTTAAATGATTATTTTCAATTTAATCGAGAGATTACATCGATTAGATTACCACTATTACCCTGAAAAAATGATTTAATCAGTGAAAAGTCGGTGGATTTATTCTTCCTGTTCTCTAACAACACGATAAAATCTCTAGAAAAACATCAGATGACGATTGCGTGATTCTGTAAATAGCTTGAGGAAAAAATTCCCCTCCGAATTTCTTATCGAATCCATTCGAAATCCAAGGGCTCAGTCAATACCTCCGAAAATATCACCAGCTATTCGTCGAGCTCATCGCTATTCAGTGATTTGTATTCCCCAATTTTCTATTTTCTAGCATTCGTGACAATCTACACATCTGGCTTTGGAATAACTGCTGGTGCTCACAGGTTGTGGTCTCACAGATCCTATAAAGCAACTTGGCCACTTCGTCTTATTCTTGTGTTATTGTTCACGATAACAGGGCAGGTACCTCAGGGTTAGGGTGTGGTTTTAAAAAAAATATCATTAAAGAGAGAAAAAAATTGTATTGATTATTTTTAATAGAGACACGTGTACGCCTGGGCGCTCGATCATAGAGTACATCACAAGTACAGCGAGACTGATGCTGATCCTCACAATGCTAAAAGGGGTTTTTTCTTTGCTCATGTCGGATGGTTATTTACAACACCTCATCCTGATGTTGAGGAGAAACGAGGGGCAGTTGATATGAGTGATCTTGAGGCTGATGGTATCGTCATGTGGCAGAAAAAATATTATGTACCACTTTTTGGTCTTCTCGCTATTGGATTTCCTGTTTGGATTCCATTTTACTTCTGGGGTGAAACACTCTGGACTTCTTTCTGGGTTAACTTCAATTTTCGTTTTTGCGTTACACTGAATATCGCATTCTTCGTGAATAGTGTCGCCCATATGTGGGGTCAGAGGCCGTATGACAAGTAAGGTGTAATTGTTCGTTGTCACACGTTTTATCGGCTCTTTGTTTCGATTATTTTTTTTTTTAATTTTTTTATTATTCCTTTTTTTTTTGACATTGCTGTTGAATTGATTTGTGTAATTTTATCGTAGGCATATATCTCCGGTTGAAAATATCGCTGTTTCTGTGGCGGCACTCGGTGAGGGTTGGCACAATTATCATCATGTTTTTCCATGGGATTACAAAACTGGAGAGCTTGGTGATTACTCGTACAACATTACTACTGGATTTATTGATGGATTTGCGAGAATTGGTTGGGCTTATGATCGTAAATATGTTTTACCGGAGATGGTGAGGAGGAGGGCAGTGAGATCTGGGGATGGATCTCATGTACCTAGTGTATGGGGTTACGGTGACAATGATATACTCCAGGAGGATTTTGATGAGTTGGAGAGGATGAGGGACAAGTGCCAGTGATTGGGAACAATTTATGTATCGAAATATATTTATATATATATTTTTTTTAATTGTGTTCAGTTGACATTGTGGTACTTACTGGGGTACTTATTCCATTTCGTTTGTCAATCAAGGCTACGGGATGATATTATTCAGCAGTATTCAATTTTGCTACTTCAAAGTTGCTACTTCAATTTTTTTTTTCTCTACTCTTAACGTCTTTGTATTTTTCCGTTTTTTTTTAATGGGATAAAAATGTTATGAATAATTAATTTGGTTTATTATGCTAGGCCATTGGTATTCAAGTTCAATGACCTTTTCCCCATTCTGTTCGAGATTATGTTGGTTAGGTAATGCAGTCTGACAAGGGCAGGGGATGATTTTTTTTCGAGGTACTCGTACTCTCAAGGATTTTATCCGATTTCACCGTTAATTGACTTTTTCGATTTTTGGTGAAACGGATTTTTCGTAGGTTCATTGAGTGATTTCGAGGCGTATATATTTAAATAGAAAATTCGTGATCTTCTTGAAACAATGTTCCAATTTATAAGGTAGAACATTAATTATCGGTGATCGGAATAAAAAGAGGAAATGACAGGGACAAAGTCGTTCGAGTGAGGTATAATGAAATTCGACGGTGAGGGGTCGTCATTTGGGGTCAATCAGAATTCAAAAAATAATGCCCAGTAACTTCAACAGTCTTTAGAAGACCGTTGACTCGAGTGCAGGCTCAACTCGTTGAGGAAAAATAACATTCGGTGATCATAGTGAATTGTAGAGTGTGTGAAATATTTATTTAAAAAATATGGAGAAGGAATTGTCGGGTAAACGTGAGGCCCAGTGGATCTACGTTTTATGGTACATTCATTTGTATATATTGGGATCCTATGGAATTTATAAATTGGCTGATGCCGCGTGGACGACATTTTTTTTCGGTACGTACGATTATTCAATCGTCTTGAAATGCAGTTTAAATAATTGGAAATTTTTGTAGCTGTCTTCATAATATTAATGGGCGCACTGGGAATAACAGTTGGTGCTCATCGACACTGGGCCCACCAGTCCTTCGAGGCCCATTGGTTTATTAAAGTCTGTTTCATGATTTCGCATACTCTAGTGGGTGTCGTAAGTAGAAAATATAATAATTTGGAGAATAATGGAGGCGAGTGGGTGTGGAAATAGGATTTTTTTGAAAATGGATACTTCTAGAATAGTTTGAAATTCACAGGGACCGATCTACGACTGGGTACTTGCTCACAGGATTCATCACAAATTTTATGGAACCGATAAAGATCCTTATAATCATAATAAGGGATTCTTGTACAGTCATCTGGTGACAAATTTAATGAGCAATCCTGATGATTATGAGCAGACAGCCAAGCAGATTGATATGAGGGACATTGAATCGGATGGAATCGTTTGGTTTCAGAGAAAGTACGTTTTCCTGTGGATTTTTTGAGCTCATTACTCGCTTTTTTTTTTCTGTCTCTCATGAATTTAATGGAATTGCAGATTTTACTGGCCCCTTTTCCTCATCGTTGGGCTTTTGCTACCGATAAATGCACCTGCTGAGTACTGGGGTGAATCGATAATAAATTCAGTATTTATCCTTGGATTTCTACGGCTGACTGTTCTCATGAATATCTCGTTTCTCGTCAACAGTGCGATGCACATCTGGGGACTTAATCTAACAGACAAGTTAATATCAGTATTCGACACGTATTCCTTGATATTAAAAATATTTATATATCGCCCGAGGAGTCATGGCACAGTGGCCATCGACAGAGAGGGAATCTCCACTCAGTTATGAATTGTCAAATTGATAATCGAATAAATCATTTGAATAATTCCTATCGTTTGTTTTTTAGATTTCCGCCAGACGACAATTTGGTATTTTTAATCAATAGATCGTTCTGGTTGAATTATCACTATCTTCTACCCTGGGACTGGAAAACTGATGAATTCGGTGGTTATGACACGGGTGTATCCGGTTTTACTATCAAGTGTCTCAATGAATTGGGACTTATCAACAATCTTAAGACCACGTCGAGTCAATTGATAAGGGAGGCTCTCTATAAATCAGCGACTAGTAAAAAAACAACTTGCGATGTTCTTGATGATCTGAAGAAAGCCGTTGAATACGAAACTGCCAGGATTAATCTTCATTATCATCATTAGTCGATGATTTGATCATGCTGAATAGTAATTTATCATTTAGGATTATTTTCGTTAAAGTGTATTTATTCTACCACTGTAACATCATCGCGATCATTTCAATGAAAACGTCCATAACAAATGTAGAAAAATTGTTGAGAGATAATACATTGTCATTTGACATCAGAATTAATTGGCGTTCGTTGGATTTTTATGATTCCTGCTCATTAATTTATTCGGTAGCAATGATTTTTTATCATCGATTTATCTCGGAAATAGTAGATTCGGAGGGAAAATAGATAGAGGATTTTAAATTTCCGATAAATATTAATGATTTATGCGTTTTTTTTAATGATTTTCGTGCTGAGTTAAAGGGATTGAAGAGACAATTACTCGTTGGTGAGTCGTTTCATTAAAAATATCGTTTTATTGATTATTTATTAAACTTAGATCACTTCGTGATTAATATTCGAATATTCAATTACAGAATTACAAGATATCATTATACCCGAATTTAATTAATATTGTACTATCATTAACCCATTAGTCTAAGTAAACGACTCTCCTGTACGAAGTATCGAGCGATGTCGCGACCAGCACGAAAGTCGCAATTAATCACAATCTCGTGTTATTCTCCTGTCATGTTATACTTTCAAGTTAAATTCATTCAGTCGAAAATTATTGTGGACCCCTATTACTCTGGACGGTGATGTAACAGAATCTAAATGCTATTTAAGAGAGATATCCCAGCAGTTATCGATGATAAATTGCAATATCTTGGACAATTGACAAATCAATATCACTAAGTAATCGATGACGATAATAAATAAGTGAGAGGCTCGAGCGTCCCTTTCAAATTCGCGAAGAGAAAAAAAAATGTTATGGAAAACATCGAACCTTAAATTTAACAACCGATGAAATAGTGAATTTTAAAAAAATAAATTGCATTCTGGATAGATCAGGGTGAATCATTGTGCTGAGTCTTCCTCTTTGGCGTGATATTCGATTATAGCGGCTTCTCTTTCTTCTGAGGGCTGATCTTTGTCACCCCAACCCCATACCTCGTGGGTACCGTCACCCGTTCTTTTGACTCTCTGCTCGATAATTTCGGGAGATACTCGTTTTAAATCGTGGGCCCAGCCAATTTTAGCGAAAAAATCGATAAATGCTGTGGTGAAGTTGAATCTGTAGTTGCCAAGCTCAGCTGCTTTGTAGTCCCAGGGGAAGACGTGGTGATAGTTGTGCCAGCCTTCACCCAGGGCACCCACTGCCACTGCTAGATTTTCGGCTGGATTCATGAATCTGGAAATGATAAAAATTAGTATTGCGATATTCGGGTGATGTGGATCGATGATTAATTTAATAAATTCACATATTTACCTGTCATATGGTTTACCACCGAATAGATGAGCAGCGGAATTGACGAGCCACGTCATGTTAAGAGTGAATACATAACGCAATACTGTTGGAATGAAGAAGGCATTGACCCACGTTTCTCCCCAGAACCAAACTGGAATGCACGTTGGCACGACGAAAGCTATGATTGGCATCAGCGTCAGATAGTGCCTGAAATCAATTAATTGAATTATTAATTCATTGATTAATGGGATTATATTTCGTGAATAGGTGAAAATAGCAAATTGAGACTGACCTCCTCTGAAAAACCACAATGGGATCCCTTAATAGATCGCTCATGTCGACGCCCTTTCCCTTGTTCTTCACATCAGGATGCTTTTTACAGAGTAGCCATCCCACATGAGCAAAGAAAAATCCTCTGGTGGCATTATGGGGATCGGCATTTGTCTCGCTGTATTTGTGGTGGACCCGGTGATCTCTCGACCACTCGTAGATGGAATTTTGGAATGCAATTGTGTTGAATATCATGAGAATACATCGGAGTGGAAAATTGGCCTTCCACGATCGGTGGGACCAGAGTCTGTGGGCACCAGCTGTTATTCCTAGACCACTGCATACGTATAATACGTAAGCTAAAAAAATTGAATGAAAAATTCACTTTAATACAAAAAAGATGTGGTCCTCAGGCTGGCGTTATGCCAGATCTCAACAAGTTGTCCCTTACAAGCCTGTTGAATGCACCCTTGATCTTGCAATTTCACATTTTTTTTCTTTCAACCTCGCGTTGTTTTTTTTTAATCTTCAAAATGAGCGCTGACTCATTAAAATCCCATGGTTCACTCCAGAATGATTTCTCGTTATTTGAGGTGGAATATCGCTCAGTGAAATAAGTCAGGTTTCTATCAAATATCTTTAGAACTATTGATTCGAGGAGAAAATGCGATAACACCATTTTTATCGGAAATTTAATACGCTACAAATAAGTTTTTCAACTTTTTTATGTGAAATCGGTTGTTTTCGTGATATAAAGTTTATTCGCAACTTACCGAATAATATTGTGACAAGTTTGGCCGATGTGAAGACACGGTAAAGCCCGTACATTGCACCGACGTGCAGTGCGATAAATGCGGATACATTAAACCAAACAATTCTCAATTGATACTTGACTTGGGGCTCTTTATTTACTGAACTCGATTCATCGATTCCGTTCTGATAGAGTACATTTGTCGGTGCTGATGTTATATTAGGTGCCATCGTGCTATAGGGACAACTGAAAAATACATAAAAATACATAAAATACTTGGAGCCTGTATAAATAAACAGCTGATAAAAAAAATTAATAAACCCTGGGAATAGATTGCCGTCAATCGTGCATTGTTAGGAAATTATACTCATTATGGTTAACAATGACCAATTCGTATGCAATTTATGCCCGTTATCTTACTTTAAATTCAATGAAATTCTGGAATATTCAAGGAAATTTGCGTGTATGTTTTTGAATTCTCGGATTGTTTATATATTTAATTTATGGATTTTAATATATCAAGAAATTAACGAGATGGTGAATTAAAATGAGAATGAAAAATTTTATAAATTTCTGTGGGATTTCCGGTAAATTGTAAAAATAATTCGTTACAGCGAATGATAATTAAAAGTTCAGGCGTTATCGGAGTGCCTCTGACATTACGATTCGCTGAAGTTATCACAGTTTTTGACACGTGTAATCGTTCAATCACGCCACTTTCGATCAGAGGAAGAGACCAGGGCAATAAAATTCAAATTGTCACAAACGATAAATAAAACATTATTAGTCAATAAATTTATGAACATCCTAACACATAATCATGACAAATTAAATAATGAGTAAACTCTGGGTACCCCGTAATTAGAATTTTTATGTAATAACTATCTCGCGATTCTTCTACAACGCAACGATCTAACAATTTGCAAATAACAAATGCAAAATTGAGAAACGAATGAGAAAAAAAAAATAACAAAAATCATGACGTGTCACGCGACGAATATTATTCAACAAAATTTTTGTTATGAATCACATGGAATTTATTCTCGGGAATTTATCCGCGTTATAATTAATATAATAATCCACATTATTAAAAAAATATATCAATTGGCGAATCATGCAATTGGGAGAGATAAAAAAAAATGGGATACGTATCCCATATCGTATCCCTATGTATTTGGGAAAATTGCGCAATCGATTCGTGTGTATATTGAAAAAAAAATATATTTTTATATATTTTTACGTGTTTGTCGGTGAAATTGGCGCGTGATTCCTCGAGAAATTTCGATTATTTACTATGAACTTTTATTTTTAATCATTAACACGAGTAAAACAGCGATGTGTCGTCGACGATGACGACCTATCGACTGCCAGAGCAAATCCTGTGAACTAGGTACAGCGCAGACTCCCATAACCGATCCTCTCAACACTCTTGATCTCATTATTCCTCTTGTTTTTCAACGAACCCTCTGATTCACTTCTCTATCTCCCCCTCGATCCAGGTGATTAACATAAAAAATATCACTTCAATCTGTCCAATCGCCGGTTTTCCCCCATTTAGCACAGGTATAAAATAAATCAATCTCCAATACCCCGTGCGCAATAAATTAAAAATCGATAAAAATCCGAGTAAAATAAAAAATAAAAATTCAATCAATACAAAGAAACGTACCTTATTCAATCAAATAATTCCCTCTAATGTCGCTGAATCAATTGGTATGATGGAGAATTAATAAGCAATAATGATTGATTATGAGTGGAGAATGCTGTCAATATATAGGCGGTGATTTAATCAGTTGAGATGTCGAGGTATATTACGATAATAATTACACGCGAGCGCCACGTGACGCAGTACTTGCTCACATGAATGTCAGTGTTACACAATTTATCATGACCGTTTAAATTATCGATACGGTGGTAATTTATTATTATTTATTAGCTGTAGGGGGTGTTATTATTGTTGAGAGATGATGGTTGGCGATGCTAATGGTAAAAAGTTTGGGAAATTACTGAATGAACCGAGTGTTCAGTCAAGGGAATATGCGCAGGGAATTCAGACTAGCTCAGACGAATTCAGGCGAGCCAATGGGAGACAATCGAACGAGCCTCGCGCCACCTAAAATCGACGAATCCCCATGGGTTTGAGGAACAGCTGTTTCAGTCAAATATTTTCTACCGGTTAATTCTCCTTGGTATTATGTCGGTTTTCTATCAGCACGTGGTATACACTATGTGGAATATTAAAAATTCAATTGACATTTTACAATTGTAAAACGACAATTGAATTTATATACGTGCTACCGATTAACGATTTAACGGAATTAGCGATTTTTTTTATTGGAATTTATATGAAAAATTTGCATTTTTTATTTACAATTTTCGGAAATTTTTTTCCGAAAAATCTCTTTTTTTTTTAGTGAAAATTGTAATATTGAGGGATTTATAGAAAATATTCATTTTGCTAAACGATTTTCTCAGTTTTGAAGAATCTTCGAATTTTTAACTTTATCAGTTCCGAAAAATAGTATAGAACCGGTTCTAGTTCCCTCTATTTACATTTTCCAGGACTTATATCTTGTTTGTGGTATTTTAATCTTCCTGCCTTCATTTCTTGATATTTATTCTCATACCGAGCTTAATGTGCGCGTTTATATCACGTGTTTATTATTTTCGGGCGTAGAAGGCCAACCATCCAATGAAAAACCAAAGGTTAACGATGGAATACGAATGAATTGTTTTTATTTTCCCCGTGGAATAATACATTTTTCGCATAAGCAGCACGTGTTAATTATCCAGAGTAATGCACTTGTCGTTTGTGAAGGTATTATGATAAAAAAAAATAAATGGAGTTCGTTGATGATAAAAATTGCTAAAGAATTTGCTTCAGCACAAAACGCCACATTTTTTTCAATTCTAAAGAAAAATAACACGAATGCCGGGCTTTGTTTTTTTCATAATTAACAACACGTGCTAATTATTCAGTTTAACATTTCTCAATACTAGATTTTTTCTATTTATATTCATCAGAGTGACGAATTATTCAAATGAATCATTCATCGAAACTATTCCAGTCTCGTTTTTACTAGACACGTTCATTAATACTTTTATATTCCTGATAAAATAAAAGTGCAATGGTCTTTTCTCATTTTTGTTGCATCACTCGCAATTTCGATCGGATAATTGGTAATTAGAAAGTGAGAGTGAGACATTGAAATATCGAATTTTATGATTCTGGTATTGGCTATCATTTTTTTTTCTCATCATTGACTTCCGTTTTCTGTTTAATCGGAGATAATGCGATCAAAAGTCACATTTTTTATTGCCCTCTAACCGGTTACGCGAGTCGATCGTTTTCGGTTTAAATTATTCCACTGGTATCGAATAATTCCGTCTGTTGAAAAGGATAAGGGAACTGAGAGCCGTAGTATCAGGAAATTGCATAGCTCCAATTTCCCGCGCTTCCAATTATTCTCTCGTTTTTTTTTTTCACAATAATTACCGATTTTCCATAAATCACCGGAGAATGATGTCCAATTGTAACTCATACTGAATTACGAGTGCGACACCATTGTTACAATACCAATATTGTTATGACCGATTCGAAGGTCGAATGGCTAATTGTTCAGATCGATCGGTTGAGACGATATTTGATCGAGGTATTAATTTGTATGAGCGCTAATACTTATTCGCGTCATTTTTACATGTCAGAATTTTTTGCTATGAAATTTATTCGATTTTTCATAAAAATTCTAAGCCAATGTCTAAATGATACCGATCTCTTACTTGGCTTTTGTATTTTTTGTGTCGCTGAGCCCGAGGTGTTATCTGTCAAATAGTTATCAATCAATGGAGATAATTTGAGAATACGTCAGGACGTTTTGCTAGAGTTTTAATAATACAATATCGTCGGTATGACGTGCACAACTGAAAGTAACTAGGAGTACGAGGCTGATTAAGTACTACTCCGGTCTCCTGAGTTGTGCCAAAGTCTGACAGGGACCATTCTGATACGTCGGTGGTAGCGCCACTTTTGGCGAATCGTCTCAACGTATGTCTCTCTGTTATTCCCAGATTATCAGAAAAATATGAATTTTAAAAGGGAATCTCTTCATCTCTCGTTTTTTTTTCAAGTACAATGAAAATAATACCGAATGGAAATAGTACAGAATTATTAGTGACAAGTCTTTTTGCTTTTTGACACAAGATTTTTCTCCTGTGAAAATTTTCTCCTCGTTTTTCACAGGATTCTCTTTTTGCTGGATTAAATTCTTGAATACGTTATTAATTTGACTGATCAGGTCTCTAATCGTCGCTGATTATCTCAATTGATTCTTCGTTTTGATGATAATATTCACCTGAGATTGAGTCGATTATAAAGTTTTTATTAGTCTCGACAGGAAATACTGAATCCATGAAAATGAAACATTGGTTAAAAAAAAAAAAAAGACATGATTAGATTGAAAAAAAATCATTAAATTTTTTTGTCTTTGCCAGTCAGTTCGGGAGACGTGATAAAATATCAATCAGTTATTTCTCGCATGATGTAATTACCTCTTATCTTATTTCTTGTTGAGATTAGTGATTACAAAGCAGTACTAAATAGTGAAGTTGGGGTAGGAAAAAATATAGAAGAGTAGTATAGAAATAGATAAATTAATTTTATTCCCATTTCCTTTTAAGTTTTAACATATTACATCGTGTGAATTAGAATTTTTAAAATCGTCAGGCTTTAGTCGTTGTTTTTTTAGTAATAACATTTCGTTCTCTGGTCAATGAAATTCTCTTTGAATTTCGTCGCTGATTTCTGTAAATCTGTGGGCCTTGACAGACCCGTCGCCTTTGTTCACTTTGACTTTTTGTATGAGCTCGGGTGATGCTTTTTTCATGTCATATACCCAACCGATTTTAGCGAATAGATCGAGCCAGATTTTTGTCGAGTTGAATAAAATACCGTCCATTTCAGCAGCTCTGTAGTCCCAGGGAAAAACGTGATGATAGTTATGCCAGCCCTCGCCGAAACTTACTAATCCCACCATGAAATTGTCGGATGGTTTTATTGATCTATAGAATAAATCGGTATCAGTAGAATCGATGGTCAATAGGGGATAGAATGGTGGAATTGAAATAATAAAAAAATACTTGTCGTAAGGCTGATAGCCGAAATTGTGGGCAATACTGTTGATTGACCAGATGCCATTCAGAAGGATAGTGTTTTTTATGAAGAATATGGCTATTATTGTAGCTTTCAAATTTTGATTGAATAGATAGACGGGGATGAAGACTGGGATTATTAAGCTGAAGATTATCTTGAAGAGAGTGAAGTGCCTGCAAATTTTAAAATTTTTTTCTAACAAATTCATGGCATGTACTTGTGAAACTTTTAAATTCTGGTTCTCTCAATTTAATAATTTAATTATCAATTAATCCACTCGTAATTACCGATCGACAAAGGTGATAACGGGATTAGTTTCTATGTCGCTCATGTCGACAGCACGTCCTTTTCTGACGACTTCGGGGTGTTTTTTCATCATGAGCCATCCCACGTGAGAAAACCACAAGCCTCTGGAGCTATTGTGGGGATCAGCGTCGGTATCCGAGTACTTGTGGTGGATTCGGTGGTCCCGGACCCAATCGTAGATTCGATTCTATGATTTTATAGGGTAGATAACGTTAAGTCTGATCGATTTAATGATTAATAATATTTATCGAAAGTACCAATCCAGCCGATGCGTACAGAAGAGCTAGAATTATTTGAAGTGGTAATTTAGCTTTGTAAGATCGATGCGACCACAATCTGTGAACACCACCGGTCACTCCAACTGCACTCAAATGAACCATGACGATTACTTAGGACAGAAAATTATCGAAATTAATCCCTTTATCCAGATTATTCACGTTCGTATCTTTTATTGGGTTTAACTCTGAAATAATTATCACTTACTCCAAAAAGTCAAGAACAATTCCTTCCTGTAGTTGAAGGTGATGATGAAATAGAGGGACATGAGATGAAAGACACTGAGTATAATGATATTTTTCCATTTCAATTCGGTCTCAAATTCCCACCATTTTTTCTTTTCATCCTTTAACATATCTATCCCATTAACACTATCTGCTGGGTTGTCATCCAAACTCATCCCCAAATTAATTTTCTCCAGCATTTTCACGAATGTAATTTTCAAAACTGTGACAGACAAAAAAAAAACTGAGCACTGAGAAAAAAACACGAGGATTGAGAAGAATAGTAATTAATTTTTATTAATTCAATACCTTAATTGATGGAGTAATATCTGGCTTGGCAATATACGCCCAGTGATTCTTACAATTATCAATCAATATCCTAATGAAATAATTTGGAGAATGTTCTGATGTTCACCTAACGATACGATCTCACCTTTATGAAGTAAATAACTGAAAGCTGTAACGTCAGTGAAGCAGATTAAATTCACCTTGGATATCCTTCGTTGTGCTAAAGTCTGAGTGTGCAACGTTTTTCTTTTGGTTTTTCCACAATTGAAAGAAAAGCTGCAATTTTAAAATCATCCGATTCTTGGAATATTTGCGTTTTTATCAAACGACGAAAAAACGATATCTCGCTGGCAGGATATACGCGAAAATTTTTAAAAATCAACATCCGATGTCAGGTTATGTCTTTTGTAAAAAATCCCTCGTCTACTTTCGAAGGGTTTTTACCCAGTGGATTAAATGATAAATGAATAGATTACGGGCATCACTCCGCGACTTTATCATTTTTTTTTGTATGTATTATTCTCGCTTACTTATTCTACACTCGATGAAATGAATCATGATTATCCGTGCCTTTTTAAAATTTTCTAAAAAGAGGGTACTTCAATCGATTAACTATTTTTTGGCTTGCTGGTAATGTCCACGTGCCTTGGTGTTCTCTATCTTATCTTTTATTTTTATACATGAATTTCTCATGTTGATCGAATTTTTTTATTCTCGTGGCAATGAAGAATTCTTGATTAACTCGAAAATTGAATTAAAAGATCTTTATTAATGTCGACCGGAAATAATACATCAGTTACACTCATTTCTGATCAGTAATTACCGAGTAAATCAGGAACATTGATAATGTTATAAATAAAATTGTTGATATAGGAGTAGAGGTGTAGGTGTACTGATATCAGGTAGCTGAAGTTTTATTCGTAGGCGTAGGGCATCTGGGTGACTTCAATCTCGGTGTCGTCTTTCTTGATTCCATGAGTGGGATGAGTACCATCACCTTTGCGTTGAATTAGCCTCTTCATGTGATCAGGTGTTGCTTCCCTCAGGTCGTATGCCCATCCTATTTTCGCGAAGAATCTTATCCAGAATGTGGTTCTGTTGAAGAGTGCCCAACCTAGTTCGGAGGCTTTGTAATCCCAGGGGAAGGCGTGATGGTAATTATGCCAGCCCTCGCCCACCATCATCAGGGATATTATGGCATTCTCCGTTGGTTTAATCGTCCTATAAATGATCGATTATTTGAAATTATCATGGATTGTCACTAGGAGAGAATGAAAGACAAATGATATTACTTGTCATAACTGCGATAACCGTATGTGTGAGCAAAACTGTTGACTGAGAACATCATGTTGACGACGTAGGGATACCTCATGAGCCACTGAGTGATTATCGCGGCCTTGAGATCCTGATCGAAGAAGTACACTGGGATGAAGACGGGGAGGATGAAGCAGAAGAGGGTCTTGAAGAGAACGAAGTGTCTGAGGAAGATAATTATTAGTCAGTCGTAGTGGAATAGGATCTGGATGAATGAATAAGCTACCTGTCGAAGAAGGAAGCGATTGGATCGGCCTCGACGTCACTCAAGTCAATGGTGTTTCCACCGTTGATCACAGCGTCATGCTTCCTCATCATCTGCCAGCCAAAGTGAGAGAAGAAGAAACCTCTCATGCTGTTGTGAGGATCACCATCGGTATCAGCATATTTGTGGTGGCATCTGTGCTCTCGTACCCACTGGATTATACGATTCTGGAAGATGATTCTTTGTTTCAGAATTGTCAGAATGAGGTAATTGATGATGACTTACCTCACCAGTACCCATGTAGAGTACAGCTAGTAAAATTCGAAGTGGTGCTTTTGCCTTGTAAGCTCTGTGACACCAGAGTCTGTGAACACCAGCGGTGATCGAGAGAAGATGGAGTTCGGCCAGAACAAACGCTTAAATATCATCGATTATGAAAATTTCATGATTAACGAATTAATGACGAATAATGGTATTACTTACCCCAGATTACGAGACCCAGGTGCTGGCGGTAAGGGAATGTGATGAAGTAATAGAAGGATAGGGCGTGCCAGATGAATATTCCGATGACATTGCCCCAGTAAACTTGAGTTTTAAAGCCAAAGGCATAATGCTTCTCCTTTTTTCCTTCTGGATTGAAGATTTTCTGGAGATTCTCGGGCTCGTTAATCGTTTGAGAATCACCGTTGGCCATGGTCTCGGCTTCAAATGAAATAATTTTATTGATCGGTATGATTGGGATGTCTCATCAATCGTAATTCGAATATGTACCAGCAGCTATTTCCGGTAATTGTGCAACTCGAGGAGTTAATTCAGTATTATGAGCTCGCACTTAATTATTCACTCGAGCTTTCAGCAGAGACTGACCAAATACTATCATTGGTAATTTATATCATTGATGGGAAGTGGGGATGAACGCCAAATCGACTGATAAGATTTTTTTTTTTTTCTTTTCAATCAAATAGCGAGTTCATCAGAGCAAAAATTAACACACTCGAACTGAATTGAATTATTTTTAATTTTGCAATGAAAAAAAAAAAATCAATTATTGAATGATGAATTGATTAGGTACTGGAGTATGTGGCATTTGCGAGAGATCACTCAGATATCACTCAAAGGTCTGCAAAAAATTATTCGATAATTTCTCATTATCTCCGTGTCAGTCTTTTCTATCTGTCTCAATGATAGAAAAATTCACGATCGCATGTCAACGGGTTATCGATATTGTAAAAACATTTATTGACTAAAATTGCTCGTTAGTTTGTGGAAATGGATAATCGAGAGACTTGTGCTCTTCCAAAATCTTTTCTTCTTTATTTGCCATTCGACTTTGACTCCTCACATGGTCATCAGTGAAGGGTACAATGTTCAATAAAAAATTTTGACGAGACGATTAAATTGTTGAATGGTGTTGCAATATTCATCGAGGAAAGGCTTTTTTCTCGATCGATCAGCGAGACAAATGGAAAATGAGGTGTCTCTCAACTCCCACTAGACGATGTCGCATAATTCACTCTAATCTTCACCCACTAAATCCGAAAGGACTCAATAATTATAGTTTTGCAACAGTATAAATACCATTTGCGACGATGAAGCAATAATTTTATCTCCCCTTCTACCAGAGTTCAACAGCTTCATCGGTCCATCACGTGCTCCGTCTTTAGACCAACGAAATTACAGAATACTCCGGAAATCCGATTTATCTTATGATTAATGAGACAATCTGGAAATTTTCCATTACGTGACCAATCATATGATATAATTTTTCAAGGACAAATATTTGATCGTCTGGTCTTTTAAAATTTGTCCGGAGGTTATTACTCTCGAGTGATGATGATGCCAAAAAGGAAGTCAACGGAATTTGAAAAATATTTTCATCGAGAAAATTCGAATAAAACACTTGTTCATTTACCACAAAAATTTATTTATTATTAATTACTTTTAAAATTCGGGATACTGATACATTGGGATAATATATAAATAAGCAATAGTCGTCGTTCTAACTCTCCATGTACATGTAAGGATGTTCCTCGATGACTTCTTCGACTTGAGCTGATGGATCACCTTTGGGGATCCAAATGGGATGGGTGCCATCACCCTTGCGCTCAACGATTCTCTTGATGGAGTGCTCGGGTGCCTCCTTCAGATCGTAAGCAAGTCCTAATTTTGACCACAATCTGATCCACCAGGTGCACCTGTTGGGGAAGAAACTGCCGAGTTCGGCGGCTTTGTAGTCCCATGGAAATGCGTGGTGATAATTGTGCCAGCCCTCGCCAGTGGTGATGAACGATAAGAATCCATTCTCCGTTGGTCTGATAGTCCTGAATAATAAATAGCAATACAATAAATATGAACAGGCATTGACGATCGAGTAATCGATACTCACTTATCATAACTACGATATCCAAAAGCATGAGCAAAGCTGTTTATCGAGAACATGGTATTGACGACGTAAGGATACCGCATGAACCACTGGGTGATGATTGCGGGTTTGAGCTCTTGTCCGAAGAAAACCACTGGAATAACCACTGGGAGGATGAAGCCGAGGAGGGGCTTGAGGATGCCGAAGTGTCTGAAATGTAAAAATAAGATTTATTATCACCGATCGCAGGATCATCTTCTTGGTGTGCAATTGGAAAAGCTAACCTGTCAAAGAAAGCGACGACAGGATCAGCAGACATGTCATCGTAATTGATCTTAGCACCCTTGGTGAGAACATCCGGATGTTTCTTCATCATCTGCCAGCCAATGTGAGAGAAGAATAAACCACGGAGGCTATTGTGGGGATCGGCGTCAGTGTCCACGTGCTTGTGATGAATTCTGTGCTCTCTCACCCAGTGTGAAATACGATTCTGAAAAATCATTGATTAATTATTCTGATTATTTTTATTTTTAATTAATGTGATTACCATTCCGGTGGAGATGTAACATATTGCGAGAAATATTCGAAGGGGAGTTTTTGCTTTGTAGGAGCGGTGGCACCATAACCTGTGGACACCAGCAGTTATCGACAGCAGCTGAAATTCCGACACGACCACAGCTATCAATCAATTGAAAAATCAGAATAATCAATCGAATGAATATGATTAAATAACTCCAGCAGATAATTTATTATCTTACCCCACAGGAGTAATCCTTTGTACTGGAGATATGGAAATGTGATGAGGAAGTATAACGATATGAGATGCCAAATGGCAAAGCCAAAGACATTTGGCCAGACAAGATCTGTCTTGAATTTGAACCATCCACCCGGTGTTTTAGCACTAGATTTTCTGTTGGTATTGTCAGCTCGATTTTTAACGTCAGCTGCTCAGAACACATCACAGTAATGATAATTTCATAATTTATATGAATAACAATTATTATGGAACTTACAAACTGTCATCTTTCCTGGTGCTTGGTTCAACGAAGGTCGAAACCCACTGGGATCACCATCAACCGATAGACCTTACTGTGAGAATGGGACGCTACCCCCCGAACCTGCTTTTATAAAGTTCTGGGAGGGGAGGGGAAGATGATCGACGGTCGAAGAAAAAAGGCAGGAACCGAGATAACGAATCAGCTGACATCGCTCTAATACCAATCACCAATTGGCTACTAATCAATTGGTATTAAAAAGGAAAATATTCGGTAATTTTTATTTCTCTTCTCCTTTGGGATATCCAACATGTGACGATTTATTATTTCGTATTTTTTTTTTTGACGTTTTTCTATTATTTATTGTACTTTATTGTGATCGATGATTACAAAAGAGTAAAAAAAATATTAGAGAACTTAATGTAGGTAATAATACAGAACGATTTAGTCGTTCGTGAGTCTTGTTCGCACGGAGTGATAAGGGCTTCTTATCGCTTTGTGTTTGGTATGGAATAATAGAGTAGTCTATGTCTCTTTGAAATTTTCATGGGTATCGGTGTGTGTGTGTGTACCGTCGCCTCGTCGTTTCGTGATTTTTCGTATGAGATCGGGTGACGCCTGTTTCAAATCGTATGCCCAGCCAATTTTTGAGAATAGATTTAGCCAGGCTGTTGTGGGATTGAGATAAATACAGCCTAGTTCAGCGGCTTTGTAGTCCCAGGGAAAAACGTGGTGATAGTTGTGCCAGCCCTCTCCAACACTCATTATTGCCACCATGAGGTTCTCGGTTGGTCTGATTGATCTGGAATATATAATAATAATAATAAGCGGTATTAATTAATGGGAATGGAGGAGGGAGGATTGAAAATAATTTTTTAAATATATTACTTGTCGTATGGCCGATTGCCCCAGATGTGGGCAAAACTGTTGACTGACCATGTGCCATTCAGAACGATCGGGTATCTGATGAATAACTCGGAAATTATCGTAGCCCGCCAATTTTGATTGAACAGATAAACGGGGATCAGAACTGGCACTATGAAGCAGAAGATTATCTTGAAGAGAGTGAAGTGCCTGAAAATTTTATCATCTTGAATAAATCCATAACCTATTTTTTTTTTTTTTTTCGATATTAATCACAAAGGGAGAAAGTCCCAAAAATCGAATTTTTATTTTTTTCAAAAATCGGTGGATCTCGGGAATTACCGATTTTGGGCGGAAATGTCAGGAGATCTTTTTTATCGGGGATTAGATCGACTGCAGAAAAGTTCATTAACGTTTCCACCTAAAATCGATAGATTTCGAGATAAATCGGTAATTAAGAGGAATTCTGTCATTTGGAATTTTTAGTGCTGACATGTTATTATTGAGATAGATCGCGCGTAAATCGGAGGGTTTATCCGGTTTATCGTGGGCCGTTAATTACTATATGTCATGATATCGTAATTGATCAATTGGTAATTACCGATCGACAAAAGTGACAACGGGATCGGTTTTTATGTCACTCATGTTGAGAGTACGTCCTCTTTTGAGGACTTGGGGATGTTTTTTCATCATGAGCCATCCCACGTGTGAAAACCAAAAGCCTCGGTTGCTGTTGTGGGGATCGGCATCGGTTTCCGAATACTTGTGGTGGACTCGGTGGTCCCGGACCCAATCGTAGATTGGATTCTATGAATTTATAGAATAAATCAAATTTAATTAATTGATTCAATGGTTTATAATATTCATCGAAATTACCATTCCAGCGGATGCGTACAGAATAGCTAGAATTATTTGTAGTGGTAATTTAGCTTTGTATGCTCGATGTGTCCACAATCTGTGAGCACCACCGGTCACTCCAAATCCACTCAATTGACACATGACGAATGCTTAAGACAGAAAATTATCGAATTTACAATCGCCAGAAAAAAAAAAATTATCAACCTATCGTAACATCTCTTATGAGACATTACTACACGGAGAGAAATATTTAGTAAAAATTACGGAACTTTCGGTTCACTTACCGATTACGGAGTTGATTCGAAAAATTTAAATGACGGTATCGTTATTTTTGACCGATTATTCAGATAAAAATTACGGAACACCGCGGAAAATTTCCGTGACTTTAGATTAAAATTACGTGACAGCTCCGTAAAATTTCCGACAACCACATTTCGCTCCAGAATTACGGAAAATACACGTAATTTTTATTGAATATTTCTCTCAGTGTAATTGTCAATTCAATTACTCAGTGTAATTTTATAATCTCAATCGGAATTTTTATTCTCAAATTCTTGAAAAAATTGACAGAACTTTCACTGCGTGTGAAAAAATCACTGAATCCGTCAAATTGAACACCAGATTTTTCACTGTTGTATCTCTTATTGGGTTTAACTCGGAGAAGATCGATCACTTACCCCAGAAACACAAGAACAACTCCTTCCTGTAGTCAAATGTGATGATAAAATAGAGGGAAACGAGATGAAAGCCAATGATCCCGATGATATTTCTCCAGATCAATTCAGTTTGAAATTGCCACCATTTTTTCATATTATCATTCACTACATCTATCCCATCATCACTATCCGCTGGATTGTCATCCACACGTGTCCTTGCGTCAACTGTTGACAACATTTTAAATGTGATTTGCACAACTGTTAGAATAAAAAAAAAAAAACTTGACAAGTCAACAAGACCCCAAACCCTCGATTGCACCGATGTGATCGCAATGCATTGCAGACAGACACTGATGTATTATTTTATGTTTTCGTTGAACTACATGACAAATATGCTTATATAGCACATAACTGACCCCAATCCTAGTGTCCACCGGTGATTTCAACGTGAGCCATTTCGAAATGCTCCCAAATCAGCCGAAAAGAAAGAAGTGGCATTATTCAAGCTCGTAACGAGTTTTTGATGAAACTAATGGATGAGTTTCTGGAAAGCAATGGGAAATAAGGAATGAGTAATGAGGAAAATGGAAATCTTTAATTTATTTAATCATTGTCTGGAATCATTAGTGAACCCCAGGGATGACATCAGGCGATAATGACCTCGAGGGTTGCTATGCAATCTCCAGTATGATGTGAAGAGCAATTAATGAATGTTTCAAGTAATCGATGATTGGTATCTTGGAATCAATCGATCGTCACATCAGGTGTGCATTAACTATTTCTAGGATGTTCTTGAGGGCTTGATGGTGAATTGTCTGGCATTTATCAAAGTGCACGTGAAGCCACTGTCTCGTTGGAAATATGGAAATGAAAAATAGTGAATTTTTCACTATTATTCTTGTTACTATTATTTCAAATGGCAATGGGATACTAATACATCCTCCACCATCACCATTGACTCTTCAACTGATGGTGGAGTACGCTAAGTACAGATCGTGGGAGCAGATTGTACTGTTTGATGATTTATCGAATGGGAATAGTGAGTTTATCATAATTTATCTCTGATTGAGGACTTTGCACGAAAAAAATTAATCGTATCTCCGGATCTAGTGGACCCATGAGAAAAATTGTATGTACCTTTTTTGTGGGTAATTTAATTGTCTACAAAAAATATTATGACGGTTTTTCGGATAAATCCACTCGTTTTGCCGATACCATGGATTTTATCGTGAGAAAATTTGGTAAAATCGATGAACCGCTTGATATATTGTCTCATGATCTTTTCATTATTTATTAGACGATATTTTGTATTATGCGAGAACTCTCATTAGCTGTTTGAGTGATGAAGGAATGAGTTTGTCAATTCAATCAACACTAACGAATAAACTATCCGAGGCCTTGAATATTCGACGACATCGAGTTGGAGCAATCGTTCTCCTCGATCGATTAAATCAAACGTCAGCGGAAAATGTTTTAAAAACAGTATGAATATTTGAGAATTGTTCAGTAAATCATGTGGATTGATTTTAAAGTGAGCATTCACTGTTGTAGGCATCGGCAAAACGACTATTTGATTATTATGTATCTTGGTTGTTAATAACAACGGATCCCAATGATGCGAGTATCGATTTGATCCTGAGGAATTTAACCATTGGAATCAATTCAGATGTTGTTGTTGCAACTTCTAGCTCTAGTGCTCATGAGATGAAAAAGGAGATGACGAATTATCGAAACAGGTGAATATTTTTACCGGAAACACAAAAAAAAAAACCAGAAGAAGATCATAATTGCTCATCGATTCAAACGATTGATTCGTTTTTAATGAATATCTCGGTATCGAAGGCAGATAGCGAAATTTTAGTAATAACTTTTTCTGTGGGTCTCAATCATCTTGACAAAAAAGTTCATGACGAAAATTCAGCTATTTTCTTTGGATCGTGAGATATTCGCTGAAAAATGGAGTAAAGCGGAAGTCGAGGTGAATAATTTAAACCCTTCAGTGATGAATTAATTTTTATTGCGGGACAATGAAATTTTTAATGAGTTCTTACAGACGATTCCGCGAGTATGTGAAGATGTACAATTTTCAATGGATAAATTCAAATGACTTTATTGGTAATGGGACAAAAAATCTGGAATACTCGGTGATGGAAAATCGATCGATATCATTCTATCTCGTGCACATTTACAAAATACGAATTAATGATAATTCGAGTCTCGTTGTGGATCCCCTGGGGTGTTGGAATCCCGGTGCACCAGTTCTCAAACTTCCGGTTAGCATCGGCCAAATACTTGTAAAAAAGTCATTCACGAGACAGATAAATAATGGCGAATTATTTATCCACATTTTTCAGATTAATATCGCTCTGAGGAATAATTTTTTTCAACTGCCGATTGTCGTTGGAATTTTAAATGGCACGAGTGACGATCAAAACGGGGAAATAACATCATACGAAGAGGAGCCAATTGAAGTTCAGCCCATGAATGATTTTATTCAATTTCTCGGTCACAGTTTGAATGCTAGGTACATTCATCATTGAATTATATATATATTTTTAAATCGACAGAAGGCAGAGTCCAACGGATATTTGATAAAATATCAGAGAAAGTGGTGCGATGAATTATCTTGAATTAATTGTCGTGGTGGATTAACAAATTTAAGGAGGGGATGTTTTAATTAAAAATCTCTTGATTCTCGGGGGAAAAAAAAAAGTCTGGAGATAGTGGCGCACGAAAAATTGGGGACCCTGACAAACAAAGTCTGGAGCAATCTTCTGGGTGACGTGTACACTGGTGCTGTGGACATTGGGCTCGGTTACATCACGATTAATGAGGATCTACATCGGGACATGAGTTTTACTCATCCTCTGATACGTTACACGTACGTGAGTGAATGAATTTAGCGTGCAGACAGATATTGATAACAAAAAGAGGTGAATAAAATTATTTTCAGGAGAAATATCTACATAAGACCACCGGAATCTGGAACAATGAGGGACATATTTCTCCAGCCATTCAATAATCGTTTGTTATTCTGCGTTGCACTCATGCAGATATTTATCATTATTACTATTGGGTCGATAAATTATGCGACTAATAATGTGTTCAGGGAACGAAGGGGGAGACAAACTGGCATTGGAGAGGCCACACTCTGGTGCACCAGTATTATGTGCATGCAAGGTATTCGTGTGGATTTCAATTGTTCATTGCTCGAGAATGGCCGATTCGATTCAAGAATTTTTTGCTGGATTTTGAAGCCACTTATTCGATCTTCAAAATGTGATTTAATTTGTCAAAATCGCACAACTGAGACACGAGATATTGTCGATTGAATGGCTGTCTCATTTATTCGATGGTGGAATTCATTTGATTTTCAGGATCACCCTGGAATCCTTCGAGCCTCTCCGGGAAAACTGCCCTCCTGGCAAGTTTGATATTCGCCCTGGTGACGTACAACGCATACGCTGGTTTTATAACTTCAATTTTATCGGTCCAGGCGACGGGAATAAAAACCCTTGATGATCTTCTTCACAATAATTTCAAACTCGGTTACAGCGACGTGGATGACGAGTACATGCGAGTAATTAATCGATGATCATTCCGGGTCAGCTATTGATTAATCATAAATTAAATTGATTATTTTATTCAAGAATGCGAATGACAGTGCACTCCGACAATTGTACATCAAGGCGTTTAATGGACGAGAGTCGAGATTGAGTACGAGCAAGGGGTTGCAGAGGGCTGTTGGCGGTGGTTATGGGTTTTTTGCAAGTGCAACCCTTGCACGACGTGCCCTGAGGACTTCACTCATTCATGAGAGGTGTTCACTCAAAGAAATTGAGATCAGACACACTTTTACAACCGTTGCACTGCCAATGGAGCAGAACAGCCCTTACGAGAAAATTATCAATTTGAGGTACTCATGATAATTACGCAATTGTGAAAATTCAATCATTCAATTGCAAAATTCAATTCAATTGAATAATCGTATGGAGTGTGTTTTTTTTTAAATAAATAGAATTTTACAGATTTATTTGAAATATATTTGTCTGCAGTATTTTGAAAATGGGAGAGCGCGGAGTGATCGACAAAATAAGAGAGAAGATGCTACCGGATATGCCGAGATGTCAAGCCCTCACGACTTTTCACAGTGCAAGAATTGCTGATGTTTACTCGGCGTTTATTATCCTAGCGATCGGTATCGTTACTTCCCTCTTCCTGGGAGTCATCGAGAGAATCTGGAATCAGAGGAGAATTTTTATCGGTCGTATCACGGGTCGTGTCAAGTCCCGGAGGAAATTACCACCAGGAAATTATCTCAGGGTAATCAATCAATCGCCGGGTCTGTCTGCTAATTGGTGGCGGGTGAATTCGAGAGTTGAGGGGAAATTCAATAGGATCGCTAAACCCCGAGTTTTTCCATTTCATCACTGAGGTTTATTTATTAAATAATATTCATCGGGGGATAAATATTCCTCGGCAGTCCCTCGAAGCTCCCATCCTACCCTGGCATAAAATATCTCTGAGGTTGGTGTCACGAGTTTTACATCGATCTCTCAAATGTTTCAATAAATCCTCGGGTTCGATCGTTGTCAGGATTTCCTCGCATTTATCTCGCAACCTGAATTGAATATGAAATGAGAATGAACATGTGTTTCAATCATTCAAAATTCAACCGCTTGAATTTTCATTTATCTGGAGTAATTGATATAAAAAAATTACTTCTCCCCCCACAATCCATCTCCAGAGGATTTAATGATTATTGACCCGGGGATATTCTCACCGATAAATCGTCTCCCTCGCAATTCCCTCAACCTGAAGCTAAAAAAATAATTTTAGAGGATATATTTCAATGAATTCTTAGTGATGATCTTTAGAATAATAAAAACAGGAAGCTGGAGATATTAATTACTCTGAAAAAGAATTTTCACAGATCGTCGATAATCTGACCCCAGTGTCTGCACTTCCTCGATATGAATCACATGATTTCGTATCGTACAAGGTGAGCCTAATGTTATCAATCTAAGAATAAATGCAATATTAAAAGTGATTAAAAATGATATTGCATATGAGTATATTTCCTTATGCCACCCCTGACCTTATCAGCAATCGCGAGACAAAGGCCACATCTAATACAGGCTGATGAGAAAGTCATGTGCATGTGATCTTCACGCTCGTTGTACGCAATTTTTTGTACTATTCCAACACCTATGACCCCACAATTGTGCTCCATCGTTATTTCATTCCTCTTTACACCATTCGTGGAATCAATTTCACCGATTTTTCCACATGCTTTTGAATTGCTCCACATAATTTTCGATTTATCACAACTTGTCACTCGATAATTTATGGATAATAATATCAAGTAAAAATTAATAATCATTGTAAAAATAGAAATTAGAGAGGTATTGACATTTAAAAAATGAAAGACTGTTGTTGACTTTTGACAATGTTCAGAGGAGCGATTGACATCTTAATGGATTCAATCAATTTGATAATTAATTTATTGATGGATTACTATTCATATGAATAATTCAATGATTTATAATTAATGATGAATGTATTTTCTGTTGCAGATTGAATTGCGCGGATGGTTTTACTGGCAGTCGGTAATGGAGAATTTTCAATTTTCCTAGGGACATTTATCTGTCACTTATTCAGTGATTTTTCCATACACGTTGGCATCATCTTGTTATTGATTGTCAGCATTACCCGAATAAGAGCAAATACCCGTAGATAAACGAAAAATATCATTGGGTACTTCAGCCATTATTTACCGACAATTGGCTGGGCCCCAAGTAACTAGACAATAATCCCTGTGTACGTAATGTGTACACCTCAGTAACCTCTCGGTAAAATCAGTGTATTGTCTCTTCAAGTTATCCGTGTCGTGATCCATTAAAAAAATATATATATATTTAAGACAACAACTCAAGGCTGAAGCCCGAATAATGCACCTCATCGCAGCTGTTGTGTTTTGATGTGATTTTTTGGTGCGTAGAATTGTGAAGTGAAATTAATCGTCAATTCAACGTGAGAATAAAAAAAAAAACAGGTGACACTCGGAAAATATTGCAGTGACATTGTGCATAACGCGGATGTCATCGGATTAGTGATCAGTGGTGATAACTCGGGGATAATTACTATCGATAAATGATGGCGACTAATCTTGAGGAGGAGCAGAGTTTACGGGAGTGCGAGGAGTACGTACAGAGGCACAATATCCAGCAGGTACTCAAGGATTGTATTGTACAATTGTGCGTTGGTAGACCACAGAATCCAATCTCATTTCTGCGTGAATATTTTCAAAAACTAGAGAGGGTAAGTTTTATTTGACATTTTATTTTGAAAAATAAAAAAATTCCATTCATCCTCACGATTCAACACCAAACAAACGATTTTTTTTTTTTTAATAAATACGTCATTTTGAATTCAGTAAAAAATATTTTTAAACCTCATAAATTTTATTTAAAAAAAATCCGGGATGTCAATGAAATCCTGGATGTATACATAATTGCGTAATTATCACTGGTCAATTAACTCGAGATTGTACCACGGGTTTTTTATTCTGAGTAAAAAAAAAAAATGCGGTATGCACACGTGCGCGCGCTGTCTCTTTATATTCTTTTCCGACAAAAAGACGAGAATTATGAATCTGTAGGTGGAAGAGAGGCTGAAGAGTCCCCTCGGTTTTATGATAGCTCGGGGGGAAGCGTTATTCTAATCTTAGAATATGCTCGAAATATAACATTCAAGTGACACCTCAGCCAATCCGGTTGTAAATCCATCTCTTGGGGGTTGTCGGGGGTTCTCCAACTAGTCGACAAACACGAATGCCGCATTTGTGGGTGAAATGCGGGGTGGGAAAGTCGTTCGCGGGATAAAATTCTCAAAAATCGGGTAAACATAATAAATTATCACGTGAGGATGGACAATATTATCACCGCGGTGTGAGAAACTTGTGAGGGGAAAGGTCAGGTGTTTTGTGCGTGAAAAAAAAAAACATTTCAATTTATCAATCGCTTCTAGTTAAATTAAAATCGATAGTCGTGGAATAGTATAATTACGGAAACAAAGTCTACAATCGTCGAAAACCAGTTGAGAATATGGAAGAGGTACACAAAAACATGGAGCTATTATTAGATGTGTTATACTAGATTCTCGGGATTACATAAAATATTGGGATTTTAAAATGTTATTATTTTGGAAAATGTGCAGGAACAGGCGCAGGATGCGAAGCAGCAGATTGCGACGAGCCCTGAGGACATCGAGGATTTACCTGGGGGTCCGCAGGGACCCCAGGTGCCCAGACGACGTGGTGGAATTTCTGCGGAGCCTGTCTCCGAGGAAGATGCCACTAGTTATGTGAAAAAGGTCGTACCCAAGGATTATAAAACAATGGCAGCTCTCAGCAAGGCTATTGCCAAAAATGTACTTTTCGCTCATCTCGATGAGAACGAACGCTCCGATATTTTCGATGCCATGTTTCCCGTTACTTTTCTACCTGGTGAGCCCATCATTCGCCAAGGTGAGCATTAATGTTATAATTTATTTCAATGATAAAATCGTTTATCTGAAGAAATTTTAATGTTCGGTCAATTTATTTTTTTGGGAAGGCCCACATTAATTATTCAAACGTGCGTCAATGATTTTTTTTTTTTCGTTCCTTTTTAGTTCCTCAAATGTTTTTATTTGTAGAAGAAATATTCTTTCATATTTCATCGAGTCAATACGGAATTTTTTGTTTACTCTATCGATTTTTTTCCGGTCATAATTTATTGATAACACTGAAATTTCTCGGGTGATTCATGAGTTATCGATTTTTCGGGTGCAAAACACGTCTAATATTTTTGAAATATTCTTGGAAATTGAGAAAGCCGGAGAATATCTAGAATAATAATTCTCCTTTTAAATCACCTTTTATCCTCTACATTAGCTTATATGGAAATTATTTTTTTTTAATCAATTATAATATATACACAATATATTTTTATATACATTATAATGTTGTTAAAAAAATCATATTTATAGATGCATATACTGAAAAAAAATGGAGTGCGATTTTTCCCTAGTTAAAAAAAATGTAAAAGTCATTCCTTGGTCTTAAATTCACGGACACGAAAGCAATCCGACATCTCTGCTCTAGTTTCATATTTTATCTAATCCGGCTTTCGATCTAGAGAATAAAAAAAAATTCTTCCAGGTGACGAGGGTGACAACTTCTACGTTATCGATCAGGGTGAAGTAGAGATATTCGTTAATGGTGAGCTCGTGACAACGATAGGTGAAGGGGGTAGTTTCGGTGAATTGGCATTGATTTACGGTACACCACGTGCCGCAACAGTCAGAGCAAAAACAGACGTTAAATTATGGGGTATCGATCGTGATTCCTATCGTCGTATTCTCATGGGCTCTACCATAAGGAAGAGAAAAATGTACGAGGAGTTTTTATCAAGGGTCTCTATTCTCGGTTAGTATTATTAATCAATATTTATCTCGATTTTAAACATTTGTAAATTGTTTGAATTTATGATATTGTTTGTCTTGATCTAGAATCGCTGGATAAGTGGGAACGTCTGACCGTTGCTGATGCCCTTGAACCCGTGGTATTTGAGGATGGCGAAACAATAGTGAGACAGGGCGAACCTGGTGAGGATTTCTACATTATTGTCGAGGGTACTGCTGTTGTACTGCAGCAGAGGAGCGAGGGGGAGGAGCCCACGGAAGTTGGAAGACTTGGACCGTCTGACTACTTCGGTAAGTTATTCACAACTTCATTTCGTATTCACACTAATTTGATATTTAAATTATGCTCTACACCATTACCTTCGTTCTATTTTCTGCCCTCAAATTCTACTCGATATTTAAATTCTTCTCACCTTAATTACACCCACAAAATAGTCAATTGAATTTTCACTTTTGAATTTTTAACTTTATACATTTTAATTGCATTTAAGTCTTCATCAGAGACTTGAGGAGATAATAAAGATTAGCTTTTCTATCAATCGATTAACGAAGGGAAGTGCTGAGAGATTAGTGAGGGGGAGGTGGGGGGGAGAGAGTAGATAGAGCATTAGATTCCATTAATATTGTCCTTCCAGGTGAAATAGCACTGCTCCTGGATAGGCCAAGGGCAGCAACGGTGATAGCCCGTGGCCCCCTAAAATGCGTGAAGCTCGATAGGGCACGTTTTGAGCGTGTTCTGGGTCTGTGCGCTGACATCCTAAAACGAAACATCACCCAGTACAACAGTTTCGTCTCCCTATCAGTGTAAGACAAATATTTCACTTTCACTGAGTCGTGTAAAGCCCTTCCCCTCCAATAATTCAAAATCGTTACACATGTCATTGTTATAATTTTAATATTTTATTAATATCCTCATGATCTATCGATTATGCCAAGGGTTAAATTCATACTGTATCGTTATCCGTAATAAATATCATTCTAGTGAACGATCTCGACACCTAACTTTTCATAAAAAAAAAAATGTATAAATTAGAAATTAATGAACGAATGAAAATCGCCTTTATTTATGCACATTACGAACTCCGATCGCAGGTACAGGTGTAACTCAACTCAATCCATGATTAATCGCAATTGTGGCTTCACCTCGAAGTGTCCTCTCGCCTCTGGAGTTCCTTGGGGTGTTTGAAACTCCAGATAAAATTTTAAAAAATTATTAATAGAGATCCCACTGATTTGTCTGGTTTCCAGTGATAAATGTCCTCTGGAGAAATCCAGGTCCCCTCCGTCCTTCTTGTGATAGTCTTGAATCACCTGGACCTAGTCCAATCCTCATATCCAGGGTATTTCTGGTCCAGGCCCTGGTGTACCAAAAACCGATTCCCAACCGTAACTATTTCTCCTTCAGCCCAATCATCGTCCTAATAATAATCCTTCGTTAATCAGACGTTGATTAAACAAGGAACTCCTGGAAAATGGTGACGGGGCAGCTCGACCTTCTCGATGGGATGAAAATGCGATGTCATGTATAGATACATATGTATGCAATAACGAATACATATATAACAAATAAAACACGTATGTACAGTTGTTTTATGTACAGCCCGAGGTTAATTTCTGTAATATTTTTTTTGTGCTTTGTGGACGATTAAGGATTAAAAAGAACATTTTCGAGTAATTGGTGATTATTTTTCACCAAGCACCAATAGAGCCAGTGCTTGCCTTGCAATCGAGAAGCTGACGCTCATTATCGGCATAAATTAATCCAAAATCTGTCACAAATTCATAAAACTTGTCCAATGATTCAAAGGCCAATTCCGCAACGATGAAATCAACTGCCAAATTTTGTCGATAGCTAAACAGCAGAAGAAATAAAATCATTAGTTTTAGGTGGGCGGGAAAATACTGAGAATATTGAGGGGCAGAGGGGGGGGAATTGGTATAATAGGGTGCAGCAAACACTTTCCTGAAACAGAACATCTTTAAGTCGTTAGACGTACAGGTGGATTTATTTCCGCCCCGTAGTCTGTGAGTACCATTAGGCAAGATGACAATAAGGATTGATTAGTGTAAAAGTGAGGTAATACATACGACTTAATCATGGTCTTCAAAGCGAGCTTTCGCTCTCTTGCTATGAACCAGTCCATGAGGAAACCAGCCATACATGGTGCCTCTTTGTACAGCTTGAAGAATACGTGATAATTACCCAACCACCAGGCAGACCGAACGCACAACGCGTGCTTTATGCACTCGTGGGATTTATCATGAGGAGTCAAGTCTGCCATTATCGTGGTGAGATCTGCGTCACAAGAGCAACAATTTTGAGATGATTCGGCAGGTAAGATAAGGTAAGTCAGCTGCTGAGAGGCCAGGCTATAGGTCACGGACATATCGGGGCTAAGCTA